AATAGGCATTAGAAATAGGAATTGTAAAAAGAATTGATAAATGAATGATTAATCCATCAATAAATACTTTACTCATTAAGTAAACCATTTATAAAAGCATTTATTCATTCATTGAATAAATAATAGAATTTAAAAATGGGTATACATCCATAGATTCACTCTTCAATTTCCATTTCCTTTTTCCAGCTGCTTTTCCTATTAGCTAATTGATTAGCGTAGTCATTTAGCCTCTCTGTGACCAATCACAATTGGCCATGGGATGTAGCAAGCTCTCTGATTGGTTTGAGAGTTAACCAGTGGGTTTTCCTGTGACATTCCCTCTGTTGATTTGTTAACTTAAACCACAAGAAGAAACTACGGAAGCCCTCAAAGGCAAGTGAAAGGCAAGGGTTTTTTTTTTTTTGTATAAACAATATTTTTTGGAGAGAAAGGAAAAATTTTTTGCTCTTTTGCTCTTTCTTTCAGGCCTTGTTTATACAGAGGAAAGAAAGCTTGATACACAGATATTATGTGTGTGAACAGATTGAAAATCCGTGTGTAAACGTCTCAAACAAACAAGTTTTGAGACAAACTTTCTGCCAGTCTGAATGAAAATCCACTTGTGTCACTCAGGTGCTTTCAGAAACATGTGATCGCCTGCTGGTGATGACATTTTTGTTTTAAAAGTAAGAGCACGCAGTCTTCTCTGAGCTTTTTTCTTTTTTAAACTTGCCTTTCAGGGCTTCTCTGAGATACAGAAATCCACAAGACTTTTCCAACTGCAGACAGTGATCGGTGCTACACAATCTTACACAAAGATTATGATGGTTCTCCTCCTGATTGATTATTTGTCACTTTCAAAATTGAAAAGTTCGATGTGATGACATGAATTAAAGCTGTTTTTTTTGTTCGTTCTTTTTCCTTGCAGCTCAGTCAGAGTTGATTTGTTCACATCAACCAATTGTAGCCTTGGCTGGTGATGATGTCATTCTACCATGTCGCCTTGAACCTGCCATCAGTGCCAGGACAGTAGAGTGGACTAAACCTGGTTTGGACCCAAAATACATCCATATTCACGAAAAGGGACTGGAGCATTGGATTCAAAATCCTTCTTATAATTTCCGAACACGAGTGTTTGTGGATGAACTGGAACAAGGAAACGTCTCCATGAAAATCTTCAGTGTGAAACTGTCTGATGAAGGAAAATACAGATGTTACATTCACTCAGTTCAGGAAGAAGCTTTCATCCATCTCAGTGTTGGTGAGTCAGACTCTGTGTTGATCGACTGAACTGAACTAACACAAACACAATTTGATACTTAAAGTTACAAAGTGACCTCAAAGTGACCAAAACCTCCTCTCTTATCTCCAGGTTCAGTCTCGTCACTTGTCATAAAGGTTACTGCAAATACAAGTAGAACACTGGTGTTACAGTGTGAGTCTAAAGGCTGGTATCCAGAGCCTGAGCTGTTGTGGCTGGACGGTGAGGGAAAGCTGCTCTCTGCTGGACCTACAGAGACAGTCAGAGGTCCTGATGACCTCTATACTGTCAGCAGTGGAGTGACTGTGGAGAAGAGACACAGCAACAGCTTCACCTGTAGAGTCCAACAGAAGATCATCAACCAGACCAGAGAGACACAGATTCATGTTCCAGGTAGAAATCTTTCAGACTGTCCTGTAAAAAACGAGCCCACAGGTCGTTCGTGCGAAAGGTTATTATGACCCATAGTTAGGTTTTGTTGCTATGTGAATTCCAGTGGCTGTAGTGATGATGACAGGAGCAAAGGGGAAAGTGCCGTGACGTAGCATGAAGAGAGACAAAGTCCACGTCAAGAGGAGGTGGCGGTGGATGGATGAATATGATACAGGAGATCGGTGTTCGATTCCCATGTGAAACCAGTAGTTTATATTGTTTCTATTACCCATGACTGTGTGTTGTCATTATTGTAACCATGACAACAAAGATTTTCTGATGTTGAGGAAGTACTTATTTAACCCAAATCACGATCTTTTCTCAAACCTAACCAAATAGTTTTTGTGCCTAAACCTAATCAAGGCATGACCTGTTATTATAGTAACCACGGCAACGTTCGGTAGGCCGCTCTCGGTACAGTTGTTTTTTAATATGGTAACCATGACAACTGATATCCGGAACGCCTGTCGCTGTAGGGGCACTATTTCAGGAGACACTCCTATGGGTCGTATTAGAGCGTTGAAAAGGTTGTTCAGGTTGGAGGAGTTGTTGACATGTTTATAAAAACCTTTACACTGACTTTGTCTTACTGAAATAGATTTCTATATAAACACCATGCTGCTCTGTTTCATCGTTTCAGGTGGTTTCATCAAGGACCCATCTGAAGATTATCTGGTGATTATTGGGATTCTTATGCTTGGGATCCCTTTTATTCTTTTACTGGTTGTATTTTTGCTGTGCCGTCAATGTAGCTCCAAAATATCTACATCTGATGAAGAAGGACAATCAACACAACTATCTGAACCCACTACAGAGGATTTGACCAGATAATCACCAAATAGAAGAGGCAGAGTTTGTACTGTGCAGCAACAATAAACATTTTCTCTAGTTTCTTTATAACATTTGTGAGCAAATTAGATGTATAATTTGTAAGTCATCTGATTGTAAATATAGTGATCAGGGTTCACATCAAACTAACAGGATGTTGAACAAACTACAGCCTTTGTGAAACTATGAACTGTAGTAAACTCTGGAAAACACCTTGTATCTGTGAACAACAACAATGTCCCCAAATGAAATGTCTGTGGTTGAATCTTCCTGCAGAACTCATGTGATCACCAGCAAGACCTTGTCACATCACACTTGTATTTATTAGAGGAGTAAATTACAAACCACTTTACTGATTCAAATCATTTTGTTCAGTTCAAAGTTCAAAGACAGGTGGTCACTGATAATCAATCATATTTGTATTCAAATGCATTTCAGTTTGTACAACAGTAAGTGAACGCGTCATTGTTCTTACAGCAGCAACCAACGGCACTGATTCAGTCTTCAGTGTTATTCTTTATTTGGATCCCCATTTTCTTCTTCTACAGCGGGGTCCACATAAAATCATTCATTCACAAACAGCACATAAACAAACTGTGGTCGTCCTGTGTGGTTCATGTGTGGAGACAAGACACACAGAGAGTTAGTGCTCAAACACGTCCACTAGAGGTCCCTGTTTCTCTAAAGATAAAAATGCAAACATTTCATTGTGTCAGAACAAAACATGCTGACTGTTGTTTTTAAATGTCATGATTCAAGTTTTCCTGTTTTTGAATGAACATTTTGATGAAACATATACAATTATACTGCATTTGATCATATTATAAATTATTTTTACATCATTAAAATTACTTAGTATTAATAAACCTATAACACTGACATTTCATTGCCCAGTCATTTCCTCAAACCCTTTGTTTCTTCCAATTTAGATGAAAAGAGGAAAGCTATACAAAGATGTTTGGGTAACGCTTTATAAAAGACTCCCAATAAAAACACTCAGACCAGTTTGTTTCAATGCTTCAGACTTTTAATCTTATAGTAGACAAGAAAGAAGAGTTCACTCTGCAGAATAAAGTTGTGCTAAAATCATTCTTTTCATTACACAGTTTGCCTCCTAAAAGACGATCCAGCTCCAGTTTATGTCACTTGTTGCTTTATTCCTTAAGTAGCGTCACAGCGATAGAGAGGAAATATAGAAGTGAAATTGGATATAGAACCTTCAGGTTATATATGAGACTGATACAGATGAGTTTGCAAAGATAAACACAAACACATATGAATGTGTATGGTGGATTCTGACAGGAATCATCAGCCTCTCTTGACACAGATAGATGGGAAATGTACGTTACACCTTTCATCATTCCAGCACTTTTGACCTGTGAACACCAACGACACAGGAGTCAGTCAGTGCTACACAAACCAAAACATGAAACAATGGTTTTGTACTTCATCAAAACTGTGGTAAACCCTAATAAGTTAAAAATCAACATTAAAACCATTTGAATTTGATAAAATTGGATTACTTTCTACCTTTTTTAATAAAAATTCTTTGTCATTTAAACCACTCATACAAAACTGAACAGAAATAGCGTGTATTAACTTACCTCCAAAATTCATTTGCAAACAGCCCTCCCTGCCATGACTGTTACTCGGTTCTCCATGACACCAGTTTGTATAGTGGAAAGGACTGCCATCACTCCAAAACCAAATATTCTCCTAGATAACAGAGTCAAAGAGATTATGAGTTTTAAACAAAGTTATTTTTTATGAAACACCATAAGATAAATGTTGCATAATGATGAATAAAATACCTCTTCTGCGTCAGAGCCTCCAATCCATGTGTCTTTGTACTGATGAGTGGCGGTCAGTATCAGCCACTGAATTTGATGGTAGTCCTGTGTGCTGTGCACCGATGCCAGGTTTGCACCCATGGACCGACAGTTTCTCTACAGTGAATAAAAGACAGAGAGAGAGTGAAGCTGGACACTAGTTCACCTAATGTGCAAGTCAACACAAACAGAATAACCTCAGTGATTACCTCAGCTTTAGCCCAAGTCATGGGGTTTGGAACATAGCGGAAACAGCGACCATTGATCGTAGACCAACCAGCTGAACAAGACGTGGACCTCTTGACCAGGTGACTCTCTGCTGAGGACAAATAAATAATAGTTGGTAATTTTGAGTTTCAAGGTAACATTTCTATTTAGACATTTTTTCTTTTTCTAATGGTAGAAAAAAAAAAACACATATCATTGAGGGATAACATATATCGATGAAGGAGAAGTGGCCCAAAAATTGATCTTTGAGGAACCCCGTGGGCTAATCGTAGGTTAATGTGGAGGTTTTGAAGTTATAAAAGAGAGATAAAGAGGAAAGCTAGTTAGAAACAAGACTTTCTGTAGAGTTTTGTAGGAAATCAATACAGTACATACTCTGTTGGCTTAACTTAATCATTAAGATTCCTTAACAAACTCTTCTGACAAAATAATACTAGGTTTCACTGGATATTAAGATAGATATGTAAAAAAGAAAATAACCACTCTATTAACACCAACTCACATGTTTTTGCTGATACAGTAAAATGTGGCTCTTTGATGTGTCTGATCAGAAACGTCACATTTTAGTCAAAATCTAAAAGAATACTCACTGACCTGTTTGATTTTTCTCAGGTATTTCTCCTGGAAGAGCTGGACATTTTGAAACAGCAGTTATTTACTTGGTTCATCTGTATACATACAAATACATAAAAAATGATCTTTGTCTTTTTTTAACACGTTAATGAAAACTACTTACCTGCAGCTCTGGTCAGTGCCATCATGGCACAAACAAGCAGACACACAGTCAGCATCTTTGTGGTCCGAATCTACAGCAGGTGATAGACACAATACAGATAATTACCTCACACAACCCTTGGTCAAATCACCTCAACCATCATATTAAATGAAGGAAGACGATGAGGTGTGTTTGTAGTGAACCTGCTGCAGAATGATCTTCTCTTCTTTCTTCTCAGCGTCGGCCTGTGGTGGCTTCAGGCTTCCTGTGTGGAGAACAACACTGAGGAAAGAAAGACCAGCTCTTAAATACTCTGACCAACAGGTACAGAAGCAGGAACTGACCACGTAAAGGGACGACACAGAGACAGAAAGTCAAACAACTAACAACAGAATTCCACTGAATTCTCACTGATATTTATCTAGACATGATTATGGCCCAACAACGCCCTTATTGTCAAAGTAAACTTTAAAGTCCTCTAAAGGAAAACATATGTTCACGGCTTTAAAAGTAAATAAGGGATTAATATATTCACAAATCTCTGTAGAAGTGTGTGACAGAACTAAACCAGCCATGACCTTCATCTGATGAAAAGAGAAATAATATTGACTTTGAGGATGGTGCTTTGGTTCCTGAGAAGTCCAGAGATGCCAGTTTCACGCCCTTGGTCCAATGAAGCTTCACTCATCAAGATTTCATTGATCAGATCACTTTGTGTATGTGAAATGGATCACTTGTTTCAAAGGCGTAGGTTTGGTTTTATTAGTTGTAGGGATGTTTTTTGTCAGATGATCACTGTCTTTTTTTTCTCATTCATGTGCAAACGTGTCCACACACATTCACATATAGAGAGTCTGACTCTTATTTTTAATATTTATGTGATAGATTTTCAAAACTAGAATCACCTCCTCGTGGTTGTCTGCCTCCACCACCCACACTAGTGTCAGGTTACATCCCTGTTTGTCCAGAGTCATATCAAATATTAACCATTTGTTTGAACATTTTGTCGTGATTGCTGTGTGAGGTCTTGAGTAATGGCTAAATAGTGTTTTGTGAGGTCACACTGAACTTGGCCTTTGACCTTTGACCACCTGAACATAATCAGTTCATCCTTGAGTCCAAGTGAATGTTTGTGCCAAATTTGAAGAAGTTCCGTCAAGGCGTTATTTAGATATCATGTCCACAAGAATAGGACGGGCAAACGGACAGACGGATATATGGACGGACAACCCTGCCAGCACTTTACAACTGAAATGTAAATATTATATCAACTGATGTTCGGTTGAGAAAGTGACAGTTCATTGGATACACCCAGCTAACATGAATACAGTGTAATTAAACAGTCCAGAGATAAGTGCTACCTTTCAGAAGGTTTTAATGTTCAGTTTTAGATAAGAAGAGAGTGAATATTTCATTAGGTGAATGCAAACATGACTCCACATGAATCATTGCAGTAAGTGTTTCCTTTGCTTCAGAACCTTTGTATATCACTGAAGAAACAACTGGATGTGTTTCTGCTGCCCCCAAGTGGTCAAAAAGGTCCTTGCAGTGTCAAGCTGCCCTGTAAGCTCAGTAATACATCTAATGCTGTATCATCCTCTGTTGTAAAAATTCCCGTGGTGCCACCAGGTGGTGACATGGCTGTACTGCAAGTGCACATATTTTTGAAAATAAGGAAGACCTCCTCACAGCAGCTCCTCTTTACAATTTGAAGGATTTATGTCTAGAGCTATGTCTTCTCAGGAACTCCTCAGATTGAAGTTTAAGAAGCAAAACTGAGCCGTCTCTCACCTCATACCTAAAAACTGAAAATAATCTGCCTGAGACTTGTGATCCTTGAAGATTTTGTGAAATTTCTACAGTTGAACAAAACAAAACTTACTGAAACCCAGAAGATCAATTAGAAATCTGTTAAATGTATCACACTATCTTTTCCCAATACAATACACATTGACCTGTAAAGTTTGAAAACACAAGTCTTGTACCTTCCGTCATTATTGAGGTTTTTGAGATGCAGGAAACATCATACCCATAAAAACACTCACAGACCAACTTGCTTCACTGCTTCACACGAATATGTTTTGTAATCAAAAGCAGACTTTTGAATTTAATCGCACAATCAACCTTACGTTTATCAAATAAACTAAGCAGAAAGGTAGCTGTACCAACATGACTTGCAGAAAATTACTTAGTATTAATAAACCTATAACACTGACATTTCATTGCCCAGTCATTTCCTCAAACCCTTTGTTTCTTCCAATTTAGATGAAAAGAGGAAAGCTATACAAAGATGTTTGGGTAACGCTTTACAAAAGACTCCCCATAAAAACACTCAGACCTGTTTGTTTCAATGCTTCAGACTTTTAATCTTATATTAGACTAGAAAGAAGAGTTCACTCTGCAGAATAAAGTTGTGCTAAAATCATTCTTTTCATTACACAGTTTGCCTCCTAAAAGACGATCCAGCTCCAGTTTATGTCACTTGTTGCTTCATTCCTTAAGTAGCGTTACAGCGATAGAGAGGAAATATAGAAGTGAAATGGGATATAGAGCCTTCAGGTTATATATGAGACTGATACAGGTGAGTTTACAAAGATAAACACAAACACATATGAATGTGTATGGTGGATTCTGACAGGAATCATCTGCCTTTCTTGACACAGATAGATGGGAGATGTACGTTACACTCCACATCATCCCAGCACTTTTGACCTGTGAACATCAAAGACACAGGAGTCAGTCAGTGCTACACAAATCATAACATGAAACAATGGGTTTGTACTTCATCACATCATTGTCACTGTGGAGAGACAGATGGCTGTCAACACAACAAACTGTAAACTGTGGTAAACCCTAATAAGTTAAAAATCAACATTAAAGCCACTTGAATTTGATAAAACCAAAGAATATCTAATTGAAACTGGATTACTTTCTACCTTTTTTTAGCCTTTGTTATTTTAACTCACTCATAAAGAACTGAACAGAAACAATGTGTATTAACTTACCTTCATAATTCATTTGCAAACAGTGCTGCCTGCCGTGAAAGTGACTCGGCTGTCCATGACACCAGTTTGAATAGTGGAAAGGACTGCCATCACTCCAAAACCAAATATTCTCCTAGATAACAGAGTCAAAGAGATTTTGAGTTTTAAACAAAGTTATTTTATATGAAATGCCATAAGATAAATGTTGCATAATGATGAATAAAATACCTCTTGTGCATCAGAGCCTCCAATCCATGTTTCTTTTTGCTGATGAGTGGCGGTCAGTATCAGCCACTGAATTCGATGGTAGTCCTGTGTGCTGTGCACCGATGCCAGGTTTGCACCCATGGACCGACAGTTTCTCTACAGTGAAGAAAGACAGAGAGAGAGTGAAGTTGGATACTAGTTAACCTAATGTGCAAGTCAACACAAACAAAATAACCTCAGTGATTACCTCAGCTTTAGCCCAAGTCATGGGTTTTGGAACATAGCGGAAACAGCGACCACTGAACAGAGACCAACCAGCTGAACAAGACGTGGACCTCTTGACCAGGTGACTCTCTGCTGAGGACAAATAAATAATAGTTGGTAATTTTGAGTTTCAAGTTAACATTTCTGCATTTAGATTTTCTTTTTCAAATGGTAAAAAACAACAACAAAAAACAAATATCACTGAGTAACATACTGTATGTAAATGAAAAAGAAGTGGCCCTAAAATCAATCCCTGAGGAACCCTGAAGGTTATTTTGGAGGTTTTGGAGAAGTTATAAGAGAAAGATAGTAAAATTATTTGGAAACAAGCCTTTCTGCAGAAATCAATACACACACTCTGATGGTCTTTCTTAATCATTAAGATCCCTTATGTTTAATGATAATGTTACCTACTCTGACAGAATGATCCTTGGTTTGACTGGATTGTTATATTTGTAAAAAGAAACCCCTCCATTAACACCATTTAACATGTTTTTGCTTATACAGTAAAATTTAGCTTTCTGATCTGAGTGATCTGTGTGATCAGAAACATCACATTTTAGTTAAAATCTAAAAGAATACTCACTGACCTGTTTGAGTTTTCTCAGGCATGTCTCCTGGAAGAGCTGGACAGTTTGAAATATCAGTTATTTCATTGGTTGATCTGTACACAGACAAAATACAAAAAAATGAATCTTTGTCTTTTTTTAATGCCACACTCAAAACTACTTACCTGCAGCTCTGGTCAGTGCCATCATGGCACAGACAAGCAGACACACAGTCAGCATCTTTGTAGTTGGAGGACAAGAGAAAGAGCAGCTCATAAATATCATTATTTATCTCATCATCTCTCACAAAATGAGGAACAGAGGACACACGAGGCATGAGATAAAGTACAGTCACAACCGCAAAGAGAAGCCTTTGACAAACTTAAAGGTTTGTTCCCATCAGTAATATAAGTGCACATTATACAGTATATACATACTGTATGTATATATATATATATATATGTAATTTTAAACATATACTTGTTGCAGTTCCAAAGCCGTCATGTACCTTGAAATTTCACAATCATTACCTACTGTAAGTAAATAGAAATTTCAACATCTTTATCATTCTGACATCTTTTGTTTATCAATCAATCAATCAATCAATCAATCAATCAATCAATCAATCAATCAATCAATCAATCAATCAATCAATCAATCAATCAATCAATCAATCAATCAATCAATCAATCAATCAATCAATCAATCAATCAATCAATCAATCAATCAATCAATCAATCAATCAATCAATCAATCAATCAATCAATCAATCAATCAATCAATCAATCAATCAATCAATCAATCAATCAATCAATCAATCAATCAATCAATCAATCAATCAATCAATCAATCAATCAATCAATCAATCAATCAATCAATCAATCAATCAATCAATCAATCAATCAATCCATCTTTATATATGATAATATATGAATAAACCTCAATTATATAGCACTTTTCTTTTTAAACAAAGTTATAATAACAAAGAAAAAGGGGAATTAAAAACCAGCATTTACAAACAAATGAAAAACAAACAGATCATAAAACACAGGGTAATGAAATGAAGTTACATGAAAAGATAAATTGTCCATATAATCGAAAAAAATACAACTTTAAGTGCTAAAAATAACAGTAAATGTGCAAGTCAAAATAGACAGCACTAAAAGCCAGGCTAAATAGGTGAAGGCAAATGTAATATATGTACATATACTTAATGTCCTTATACATACAAAATTAAAACAAAAAAATCAAAATCATCAATGAAACCCATTAGAAATTGCATCAATTACATATATTGACTTACATATCTAGCCCAAACAAATATGTATGTAATCCTATATAGTACACATATGTTACATAAATATCTCTCTGTCTTACATATGTCAAAACATGTCATAAACTTATATCTTCATATATATGTATGTATATTTATTATATATTATAATAATATATCCCCTTATAGGAAACATACTGTATTTGGCAACATCATTCTTGAAATAGGGACATATATGTCATATATTATATTTCTATATAAGAGGTATCCACACTCTTAGACTTAGACTCTTAGGCTGGACCTGAGGAACAACCATGAGACAAACTACCAGACGACCTGAGAGACGTACTGGATACATATAAACCAGGTTAGACAAGTAGGTATCCGAGTACAGTATCCTGATTTTTGAGTCTTATCTCTGTGAACAGATTTTACACTCTCTTTTATCTATCTAAAGCATGAGCTCTTTTACATGAGGGGGTGTGAGTGTTATCTTAGGACAGTCTTGAGAAACAGTGAACCCTTCCTTAAATGGAAATGTTCTATTCGAACTACATGTTTCTGCTTTGCAATAGATGCTATCTTAATCCGCTTTAGACGGGAAGTTGTACAACTATCAAATGCTTCGCAGAAGTGGTGTGTACAATACCCTGCAAATCTTTGTGAAGAAATAAAAAAAAGAAAATATACACAGCAGGCTAAAGGACATTAAATATTCTTCTTTAAAAGTGTTTGCATTTTAGCTGCAGAAGCCCAAGATATTTTGGGTAATCACCACGGTGTATTTCTAAATGAGTGAGGAACTTAAATTTAGAGCCTGAAAGTCTTTGAGACAAATCTTAATCCATATAAACTCAAACTGATTAGCAGTTTGAAGGTACATCATGTATAGGTGATTAAAAAACAACATGTGCAGCTACATGGTAGTATGTTGTAAAACACAGTAGCATTGACTATAAGAACAGGAAAACTTTTTTTTTGCCTCGACTTGACTTGCAGATAATATCATCAATAATAAACCCATAAGTGAGACATTTCTCAGAAGCAGCATTCTGACATTCAAGCAAGAACTGTGAAAACGTTGCATCAGAATAAGCATTGACAGGTTTCCTTTGATGCAAAGTCATTCTTGAAGGCTGACTTTGTCTCTTATTTATACTAAATAATTAGTATTATACAATAACCCATGCGTGTGCGTCCATGTCGTCCGACCATGGCCGCACACAGGTGTGTTTATACCTGATCTGAACGGCCACACTCCAGAGGAGGAGTGAAATGTTGGCTACACAAATGGTTGGACACACAAACCCTTGGTGTCTCACAACTTTGATGTCACAGATGAAAATACACAAATGACACCAATATGTTTAATTAGTTTTGTAATCAAAAGCAGACTTTTGAATTTAATCGTACAATCAACCTTCATTTATCAAATAAACTAAGCAGAAAGGTAGCTGTACCAACACGACTTGCAGAAAATTACTTAGTATTAATAAACCTATAACGCTGACATTTCATTTCCCAGTCATTTCCTCAAACCCTTTGTTTTGTCCAATTTAGATGAAAAGAGGAAAGCTATACAAAGATGTTTGGGTAACGCTTTATAAAAGACTCCCCATAAAAACACTCAGACCAGTTTGTTTCAATGCTTCAGACTTTTAATCTTATATTAGACTAGAAAGAAGAGTTCACTCTGCAGAATAAAGTTGTGCTAAAATCATTCTTTTCATTACACAGTTTGCCTCCTAAAAGACGATCCAGCTCCAATTTATGTCACTTGTTGCTTCATTCCTTACATACAAATACATAAAAATTGATCTTTGTCTTTTTTTAACATGTTAATGAAAACTACTTACCTGCAGCTCTGGTCTCCAGTCACTGCGCGCTAATTAGCGTAACCTAATATCATCAACAATCTTTGCATCCGAGCACGATCTGCATCAATCTCCTTTGCTCTCCTCGCATCTCATGACCCATTCTTATTGTTTCCCTTCAGATTATATATGAGACTGATACACGTGAGTTTGCAAAGATAAACACCAACACATATGAATGTGTATGGTGGATTCTGACAGGAATCATCTGCCTTTCTTGACACAGATAGATGGGAGATGTACGTTACACTCCACATCATCCCAGCACTTTTGACCTGTGAACATCAAAGACACAGGAGTCAGTCAGTGCTACACAAATCATAACATGAAACAATGGGTTTGTACTTCATCACATCATTGTCACTGTGGAGAGACAGATGGCTGTCAACACAACAAACTGTAAACTGTGGTAAACCCTAATAAGTTAAAAATCAACATTAAAGCCACTTGAATTTGATAAAACCAAAGAATATCTAATTGAAACTGGATTACTTTCTACCTTTTTTTAGCCTTTGTTATTTTAACTCACTCATAAAGAACTGAACAGAAACAATGTGTATTAACTTACCTTCATAATTCATTTGCAAACAGTGCTGCCTGCCGTGAAAGTGACTCGGCTGTCCATGACACCAGTTTGAATAGTGGAAAGGACTGCCATCACTCCAAAACCAAATATTCTCCTAGATAACAGAGTCAAAGAGATTTTGAGTTTTAAACAAAGTTATTTTATATGAAATGCCATAAGATAAATGTTGCATAATGATGAATAAAATACCTCTTGTGCATCAGAGCCTCCAATCCATGTTTCTTTTTGCTGATGAGTGGTGGTCAGTATCAGGTTCTGAATTTTATGGTAGTCCTGTGTGCTGTGCACCGATGCCAGATTTGCACCCATGGACCGACAGTTTCTCTACAGTGAAGAAAGACAGAGAGAGAGTGAAGTTGGATACTAGTTAACCTAATGTGCAAGTCAACACAAACAAAATAACCTCAGTGATTACCTCAGCTTTAGCCCAAGTCATGGGTTTTGGAACATAGCGGAAACAGCGACCACTGAACAGAGACCAACCAGCTGAACAAGACGTGGACCTCTTGACCAGGTGACTCTCTGCTGAGGACAAATAAATAATAGTTGGTAATTTTGAGTTTCAAGTTAACATTTCTGCATTTAGATTTTCTTTTTCAAATGGTAAAAAACAACAACAAAAAACAAATATCACTGAGTAACATACTGTATGTAAATGAAAAAGAAGTGGCCCTAAAATCAATCCCTGAGGAACCCTGAAGGTTATTTTGGAGGTTTTGGAGAAGTTATAAGAGAAAGATAGTAAAATTATTTGGAAACAAGCCTTTCTGCAGAAATCAATACACACACTCTGATGGTCTTTCTTAATCATTAAGATCCCTTATGTTTAATGATAATGTTACCTACTCTGACAGAATGATCCTTGGTTTGACTGGATTGTTATATTTGTAAAAAGAAACCCCTCCATTAACACCATTTAACATGTTTTTGCTTATACAGTAAAATTTAGCTTTCTGATCTGAGTGATCTGTGTGATCAGAAACATCACATTTTAGTTAAAATCTAAAAGAATACTCACTGACCTGTTTGAGTTTTCTCAGGCATGTCTCCTGGAAGAGCTGGACAGTTTGAAATATCAGTTATTTCATTGGTTGATCTGTACACAGACAAAATACAAAAAAATGAATCTTTGTCTTTTTTTAATGCCACACTCAAAACTACTTACCTGCAGCTCTGGTCAGTGCCATCATGGCACAGACAAGCAGACACACAGTCAGCATCTTTGTAGTTGGAGGACAAGAGAAAGAGCAGCTCATAAATATCATTATTTATCTCATCATCTCTCACAAAATGAGGAACAGAGGACACACGAGGCATGAGATAAAGTACAGTCACAACCGCAAAGAGAAGCCTTTGACAAACTTAAAGGTTTGTTCCCATCAGTAATATAAGTGCACATTATACAGTATATACATACTGTATGTATATATATATATATATATGTAATTTTAAACATATACTTGTTGCAGTTCCAAAGCCGTCATGTACCTTGAAATTTCACAATCATTACCTACTGTAAGTAAATAGAAATTTCAACATCTTTATCATTCTGACATCTTTTGTTTATCAATCAATCAATCAATCAATCAATCAATCAATCAATCAATCAATCAATCAATCAATCAATCTTTATATATGATAATATATGAATAAACCTCAATTATATAGCACTTTTCTTTTTAAACAAAGTTATAATAACAAAGAAAAAGGGGAATTAAAAACCAGCATTTACAAACAAATGAAAAACAAACAGATCATAAAACACAGGGTAATGAAATGAAGTTACATGAAAAGATAAATTGTCCATATAATCGAAAAAAATACAACTTTAAGTGCTAAAAATAACAGTAAATGTGCAAGTCAAAATAGACAGCACTAAAAGCCAGGCTAAATAGGTGAAGGCAAATGTAATATATGTACATATACTTAATGTCCTTATACATACAAAATTAAAACAAAAAAATCAAAATCATCAATGAAACCCATTAGAAATTGCATCAATTACATATATTGACTTACATATCTAGCCCAAACAAATATGTATGTAATCCTATATAGTACACATATGTTACATAAATATCTCTCTGTCTTACATATGTCAAAACATGTCATAAACTTATATCTTCATATATATGTATGTATATTTATTATATATTATAATAATATATCCCCTTATAGGAAACATACTGTATTTGGCAACATCATTCTTGAAATAGGGACATATATGTCATATNATATACTTGTTGCAGTTTCAAAGTCGTCATGTCGTTGAAATTACAAAATCATTACCTACTGTAAGTGCACAGTAATTTCAACATCTTTATCATTATGACATCTTTTGTTTATCAATCAATCAACCCATCTTTATATATGATGATATATGAATAAACCTCATTTATATAGCACTTTTCTTTTTTTAACAAAGTTATAATAATAGAAAGAAAAAGGGGAATTAAAAACCAGCAATTACAAACAAATGAAAAACAAACAGATCATAAAACACAGGGTAATGAAATGAAGTTACATGAAAAGATAAATTGTCCATATACTCGAAAAAAAAATACAACTTTAAGTGCTTAAAATAACAGTAGATGTGCAAGTCAAAATAGACAGCACTAAAAGCCAGGCTAAATCGGTGAAGGCAAATGTAATATATGTACATATACTTAATGTCCTTATACAAACAAAATTAAAACATAAAAATCAAAATCATCAATGAAACCCATTAGAAATTGCATCAATTACATATATTGACTTACACATCTATCCCAAACAAATATGTACGTAATCCTATATAGTACACATATGTTACATCAATATCTCTCTATCTTATATTGTCTTACATATGTCAAAACATGTCATTAACTTATATCTTCATATATGTGTATGTATATTTATTATATATGATAATAATACATCCCCTTATAGGAAACATACTGTATGTGGCAACATCATTCTTGAAATAGGGACATATATGTCATATATTATATTTCTATATAAGAGGTATCCACACTCTTAGACTTAGACTCTTAGGCTGGACCTGAGGAACAACCAAGAGACAAACTACCAGACGACCTGAGAGACGTACTGGATACATATAAACCAGGTTAGACAAGTAGGTATCCGAGTACAGTATCCTGATTTTTGAGTCTTATCTCTGTGAACAGATTTTACACTCTCTTTTATCTATCTAAAGCATGAGCTCTTTTACATGAGGGGGTGTGAGTGTTATCTTAGGACAGTCTTGAGAAACAGTGAACCCTTCCNCTCGAAAAAAAAATACAACTTTAAGTGCTTAAAATAACAGTAGATGTGCAAGTCAAAATAGACAGCACTAAAAGCCAGGCTAAATAGGTGAAGGCAAATGTAATATATGTACATATACTTAATGTCCTTATACATACAAAATTAAAACAAAAAAATCAAAATCATCAATGAAACCCATTAGAAATTGCATCAATTACATATATTGACTTACACATCTATCCCAAACAAATATGTACGTAATCCTATATAGTACACATATGTTACATCAATATCTCTCTATCTTATATTGTCTTACATATGTCAAAACATGTCATTAACTTATATCTTCATATATGTGTATGTATATTTATTATATATGATAATAATACATCCCCTTATAGGAAACATACTGTATGTGGCAACATCATTCTTGAAATAGGGACATATATGTCATATATTATATTTCTATATAAGAGGTATCCACACTCTTAGACTTAGACTCTTAGGCTGGACCTGAGGAACAACCATGAGACAAACTACCAGACGACCTGAGAGACGTACTGGATACATATAAACCAGGTTAGACAAGTAGGTATCCGAGTACAGTATCCTGATTTTTGAGTCTTATCTCCGCTTTGATCATAGTATGATGGGACAGACGGGATCAAACATACATTCATTTGACTTTCATGTATTGTTCTTGTGAACAAATTTTACACTCTCTTTTATCTATCTAAAGCACGAGCTCTTTTACATGAGGGGGTGTGATTGTTATCTTAGGACAGTCTTGAGAAACAGTGAACCCTTCCTTAAATGGAAATGTTCTATTCGAACTACATGTTTCTGCTTTGCAATAGATGCCATCTTAATCCTCTTTAGACGGGAAGTTGTACAACTATCAAATGCTTCGCAGAAGTGGTGTGTACAATACCCTGCAAATCTTTGTGAAGAAATAAGAAAATATATATACACAGCAGGCTAAAGGACATTAAATATTCTTCTTTAAAAGTGTTTGCATTTTAGCTGCAGAAGCCCAAGATCTTTTTGGGTAATCACCACGGTGTATTTGTAAATGAGTGAGGAACTTAAATTTAGAGCCTGAAAGTCTTTGAGACAAATCTTAATCCATATAAACTGAAACTGATTAGCAGTTTGAAGGTACATCATGTATAGGTGATTAAAGTTAAGTGTAATTTAACAGTCCAGAGATAAGTGCTACCTTTCAGAAGGTTTTAATGTTCAGTTTTAGATATGAAGAGAGTGAATATTTCATCAGGTGAATGCAAACATGACTCCACATGAATCATTGCAGTAAGTGTTTCCTTTGCTTCAGAACCTTTGTATAACACTGAAGAAACAACTAGATGTGTTTCTGCTGCCCCCAAGTGGTCAAAAAAAGTCCTTGCAGTGTCCAGCTGCCCTGTAAGCTCAGTAATACATCTAATGCTGTATCATTGTCTGTTGTAAAAATGCCTGTGGTGCCACCAGGTGGTGACATGGCTGTACTGCAGGTGCACATATTTTTAAAATAAGGAAGACCTCCTCACAGCAGCTCCTCTTTACAATTTGAAGGATTATTTCCAGAGCTATGTCTTCTCAGGAACTCCTCAGACTGAAGTTTAAGAAGCAAAACTGAGCCATCTCTCACCTCATAACTAAAAACTGAAAATAATCTGCCTGAGACTTGTGATCCTTGAAGATTTTGTGAAATTTTTACAGTTAAACAAAACAAAACTTGCTGAAACACAGAAGATCAATTAGAAATTTGTTAAATGTATCACACTATCTTTTCCCAATACAATACACATTGACCTGTAAAGTTTGAAAACACAAGTCTTGTACCTTCCGTCATTATTGAGGTTTTCGAAATGCAGGAAACATCATACCCATAAAAACACTCACAGACCTGTTTGTTTCAATGCTTCAGACTTTTAATCTTATATTAGACAAGAAAGAAGAGTTCACTCTGCAGAATAAAGTTGTGCTAAAATCATTCTTTTCATTACACAGTTTGCCTCCTAAAAGACGATCCAGCTCCAGTTTATGTCACTTGTCGCTTCATTCCTTAAGTAGCGTTACAGCGATAGAGAGGAAATATAGAAGTGAAATGGGATATAGAGCCTTCAGGTTATATATGAGACTGATACAGATGAGTTTGCAAAGATAAACACAAACACATATGAATGTGTATGGTGGATTCTGACAGGAATCAACAGCCTCTCTTGACACAGATAGATGGGAAATGTCCGTTACACGCGTTATCATTCCAGCACTTTTGACCTGTGAACATCAAAGACACTCGAGTCAGTCAGTGCTACACAAATCATAACATGAAACAATGGGTTTGTACTTCATCACATCATTGTCACTGTGGAGAGACAGATGGCTGTCAACACAACAAACTGTAAACTGTGGTAAACCCTAATAAGTTAAAAATCAACATTAAAATCATTTGAATTTGATAAAACCAAAGAATATCTAATTGAAATTGGATGACATTCTACCTTTTTTTAAAATTCTTTGTCATTTCAACCACTCATAAAGAACTGAACAGAAATAATGTGTATTAACTTACTTCTGTCATTCATTTGCAAACAGCGCTGCCTGCCATGATTGTTAGGCTCTCCATGACACCAGTTTGTGTACTGGAAAGGACTGCCATCAGTCCACAACCAAATATTCTCCTAGATAACAGAGTCAAAGAGATTATGAGTTTTAAAAGTTTTTTTTTAATGAAATGCCATAAGATAAAAGTTGCGTAATGATGAATAAAATACCTCTTCTGCGTCAGAGCCTCCAATCCATGTTTCTTTTTGCTGATGAGTGGCGGTCAGTATCAGCCACTGAATTCGATGGTAGTCCTGTGTGCTGTGCACCGATGCCAGGTTTGCACCCATGGACCGACAGTTTCTCTACAGTGAAGAAAGACAGAGAGAGAGTGAAGTTGGATACTAGTTAACCTAATGTGCAAGTCAACACAAACAAAATAACCTCAGTGATTACCTCAGCTTTAGCCCAAGTCATGGGTTTTGGAACATAGCGGACACAGCGACCATTGATCTCAGACCAACCAGCTGAACAAGACGTGGACCTCTTGACCAGGTGACTCTCTGCTGAGCAAAAACAAAGAATAGTTGGTAATGTTGAGTTTCAAGGTAACATTTCTATTTCCAGATTTTTTCTTTTTCTAATGGTAGAAAAAAAACACATATCATTGAGGGATAACATATATCGATGAAGGAGAAGTGGCCCAAAAATTGATCTTTGAGGAACCCCGTAGGTTAATGTGGAGGTTTTGGAGAAGTTATAAAAGACAGATAAAGAGGAAAACTAGTTAGAAACAAGACTTTCTGTAGAGTTTTGTAGGAAATCAATACAGTACATACTCTGTTGGCTTAATTCAATCATTAAGATTCCTTAACAACCTCTTCTGACAAAATAATACTTGGTTTCACTGGATATTAAGATAGATATATAAAAAAGAAAATAACCACTTTATTAACACCAACTCACATGTTTTTGCTGATACAGTAAAATGTGGCTCTGTGATGTGTCTGATCAGAAATGTCACATTTTAGTCAAAATCTAAAAGAATACTCACTGACCTGTTTGATTTTTCTCAGGTATTTCTCCTGGAAGAGCTGGACATTTTGAAACAGCAGTTATTTACTTGGTTCATCTGTATACATACAAATACATAAAAAATGATCTTTGTCTTTTTTTAACACGTTAATGAAAACTACTTACCTGCAGCTCTGGTCAGTGCCATCATGGCACAAACAAGCAGACACACAGTCAGCATCTTTGTGGTCCGAATCTACAGCAGGTGATAGACACAATACAGATAATTACCTCACACAACCCTTGGTCAAATCACCTCAACCATCATATTAAATGAAGGAAGACGATGAGGTGTGTTTGTAGTGAACCTGCTGCAGAATGATCTTCTCTTCTTTCTTCTCAGCGTCGGCCTGTGGTGGCTTCAGGCTTCCTGTGTGGAGAACAACACTGAGGAAAGAAAGACCAGCTCTTAAATACTCTGACCAACAGGTACAGAAGCAGGAACTGACCACGTAAAGGGACGACACAGAGACAGAAAGTCAAACAACTAACAACAGAATTCCAAATATTAAAAGGCAGATCGGGAATGGCTTCATCTCACTGATATTTATCTAGACATGCTGATGGTCCAACAACGCCCTTATTGTCAAAGTAAAGTTTAATGTCCTCTAAAGGAAAACTTGTGTTGACTGTTTTAAAAGTAAATAAGGGATTAATATATTCACACATCTCTGTAGAAGTGTGTGACAGAACTAAACCAGCCATGACCTTCATCTGATGAAAAGAGAAATAATATTGACTTTGAGGATGGTGCTTTGGTTCCTGAGAAGTCCAGAGATGCCAGTTTCACGCCCTTGGTCCAATGAAGCTTCACTCATCAAGATTTCATTGATCAGATCACTTTGTGTATGTGAAATGGATCACTTGTATCAAAGGCGTAGGTTTGGTTTTATTAGTTGTAGGGATGTTTTTTGTCAGATGATCACTGTCTTTTTTTTCTCATTCATGTGCAAACGTGTCCACACACATTCACATATAGAGAGTCTGACTCTGCACAGAGCTTATTTAAGTTGAACAAATGTTTGCTGATATAACTTGTCTGAAACTTTTTCTTGTGTCTTGATTCTTTCTCTGATTTTAAACAGATACATCACATTTATTTTTAATATTTATGTGATAGATTTTCAAAACTAGAATCACCTCCTCGTGGTTGTCTGCCTCCACCACTCACACTAGTGTCAGGTTACATCCCTGTTTGTCCAGAGTCATATCAAATATTAACCATTTGTTTGAACATTTTGTCATCAAGGCATTACTTAGATATCATGTCCACGAGAATAGGAAGGACAGACGAACGTATGGACGGACAACCCTGCCAGCACTTCACAACTGAAATGTAAATATTATATCAACTGATGTTCGGTTGAGAAAAGTGGACAGTTCATTGGATACACCCAGCTAACATGAATACAGTGTAATTAAACAGTTCCAGAGATAAGTCTTGTACCTTTCAGAAGGTTTTAATGTTCAGTTTTAGATAAGAAGAGAGTGAATATTTCATCAGTGAATGCAAACAGACTTCCACATGAATCATTGCAGTAAGTGTTTCCTTTGCTTCAGAACCTTTGTATATCACTGAAGAAACAACTAGATGTGTTTCTGCTGCCCCCAAGTGGTCAAAAAAGATCCTTGCAGTGTCCAGCTGCCCTGTAAGCTCAGTAATACATCTAATGCTGTTATCATCCTCTGTTGTGTAAAAATGCCTGTGTGCCACCAGTGGTGACATGGCTGTACTGCAGGTGCACATATTTTTAAAATAAGGAAGACAGCGCTCCTTCTTTACAATTTGAAGGATGTATTTATAGAGCTACGGTTACCATGCATTTTTAATTATCTATTTACTTTTTGAAATACTAAGCATGTGTCATTCTCAAGAAACATGTCTGTAACTTTGCAGTATTTACAGTATCTCTTCTTTCCTCAGCGAATTTTGTGAAATTTCTACAGTTGAACAAAACAAAATTTGCTGAAATCAGGAAGATCAATTAGAAATCTATTAAATGTATCACACTATCTTTTCCCAATACAATACACATTGACCTGTAAAGTTTGTGTAAAGTCTTATTGAGGTTATTGAGATGCAGGAACATAATAATAGTTACTAGTTACGCTCTCCATTACACCAGTTTGTACACTGGAGAGGACTCCCATCACTCCACAATCAAACTTTGTAAATAACAGAGTCAAATAAATTATGAGTTTTAAAAGTTTTTTTTAATGAAATACCATAAGATAAATGTTGTGTAATGATGAATAAAATACCTCTTGTGCGTCACAGCCTCTAGTCCATGTGTCTTTGTACTCACGAGTGGCGGTCAGTATCAGCCACTGAATTTCACCGACGCGAGGTTTGGTTTGATCTCTCTCTTCAAAAGCTTAAGACTTTGACAGAGTTGTCGAATTGTTGAAAGTGGAAAAAAGGCACGGTGCTTCAAATTTCACCTCCCTTAAATACATTAAAGAAAGGAACTAACATATTGCATTGTTCATATCCATTTACATATTCGGACAACGTTGATGATTCTTAATTTTAATGATGAAATGGTTACATATTTTTATACATATTTGGACAAAGGTAATGATTTTTAATTTCCAGTGTGAAATGCAGCTCACATATCCTAGTACATATTTGGTATGTCACACTGAACGCTACTGTGAGGAAAGGTCAAGTCTGCGCAAGTCACCATAGCAACGGACTGTCATGGTGACTGCCAGAGCGCTTCTCGTTACCCAACATGTGCTTACTGCCCGAGGCATGAGCCCCTGAGGAAAACGCAGCGAATTACACTTCCCTTTTTACCCACGTTCCCTTTTTACTTTAATATCATGAGATTGTAAAAGTAGAAAAGTACAACATGACAAAATTGATAAAAAAAAAAAAATGTTTTAGCATGTTAGCCCAGACAGAAATGCAATATATGACATATATGTCCCTGTATCAAGAGTAATGTTGTCATACATATTTTATTATATATCAGAGTAAATTAAGATATATCCGTCCCATTCTCGTCGACACGATATCTCAGTAATTATGACAGAATTTCACACAAATGTTTCATATTTTATATGATTCTGGCTAAACAGGGAAGTAACCTGAAACTAGTTTGAGTGGTATACAACCACGAGGAAGTGATTCCAGTTTTTAATGTAGTTTTACTCCAAACAAATGTATATAACCTTTTGAGTGTTATCAGTCAATCAGTAACCTTGGTGTGTCATTATCAAGTAGCACTCAAGTGAATTCAAATTAAATGATGCCAGTTTTTTTTCATGATATTGCAGCTAAAAAAATATTACATGTATCAACTGACAAAGTTTTAAATCGAGATGAAACACTGAGTGCAGTTCATTTGTATTCTCATGTAATGTTTACCAGATTAACAATAGATAGATGAGGCTAAAAAGACAAATCATCATGTTACATTAAAGCTTAGATTGAGGACAATGATACCCGTATAATCAGAAGATATTACTCAGTCAAAGACCATCAGCTTCTTTCAGTACTGAAACTTTTTATTTTGCATCAGACAAGAAAGAAGAGTTCAGTCTACAGAGTGAAGTTGTGCTAAAATCCTTCTTTTCCATTAACAGACAGTCCAGCTCCAGTTTATTTCACTTGTCGCTTCGTTCCTTAAAGGAGGCGTTACAATGACAGAAAGGAAATAAAGATGGGAAATTGAGGTTATTGATGAGACTGATCATGTCTGCTCTGCAATCACATGATAATTTTACCACAGACAGATGGGAGTTGAGCTTCACAGTCCTTGTCATCCAAGCATCCCGAAATATTTTCTGCAAGTATCAACAACACAGGAGTCAGCCAGTGCTGCACAGTTAAAGGCAGAAACCGCTTTCACATGAAACTTTGATTCCTTAATCATTTTTATACTTTACATGTTTCTCAAGGTGAGTTGATTTACCTCCAAAGTTTAGTTGTAAACAGTGGTGCTCGTGCTTTGCAGGCTCCACATGACACCATTGATGAAATATATCAAAGGACAAATGATCGCTCCAGGACCAAGAAGGATCCTGCGCCGATAAAATCGACTACTGTTTAAATCCATATTAATTAATAGAATACTATTTACAAAAGTGTCTGACATTGTGTAATGATGAATCACATACCTCTGCTGTATTATGGCCCCCGACCCATACTTGTCCACGCTCATGTCCGGCACGCTTCATCATCCTATGAATATCATTGGCCTGCTCTGCGTTGTACACTGATGCAAGGTTTCCCCCTCCAGAAGACCAGCAGTTTTGCTACAGTGGAGATGAACAGAGTGGAGTGGGCAGTAGAAACAGCCTTCAAAATGGAAAACTGTGAGGAGACGCCTGTTAACCAGGTGTGCAAGTAAATACATCATTAAGTTTTATTTAAAAAAAAATTATATTTTGAATACGGAATTGAGCTAATTACCTCAGCCTCACTCCAAGTCATCTCTTTTGAAATGTAGAGGAGACACTGAGTGCTGAACATAGTCCAACCCTTGGGGCAAGATGGAACCCAGCCGCCGAAATCGTATGGAGGTGCAGCTTTCCATGTATAGAGAGAGAACATTTTGTATAAACAAAAACAAGCCAATTTTTATAATATCCACCAACCTGATGGCATTCCCCAATTATCTTCATTGTCAAATGGATAGCCTGGATGAGCTGGATGAGATGTACATAGAACATATACTCTTTTATTTATTTATTCTTTGTTATTATTACTGATATATTTATGTCTCAAATGGACACCATCATTAGAAATCAGAAGACATGCACTGAACACTGACTTGGTGGAAAGGTTTCCAGTGGCATCTGTACATCTGGACCTGGTGGAAGAGCTGGATGGAAATAGTTTGACACCAGTGAACAGTGGTGGAGAAATTCACCACACGGTATATTTTCAGAAAGTGTCCCCATTTACCAATATGCAAACTACAAATAGAAAGTTGGAAAAAAATTGGCAATATGTAAAATACATAAAATACATACTTAAAAAAATGTTCTCAGTGAACACTCACCAACAGCTGTGGTCAGAGCCATCATGGCACACACAAACAAAGACAAAGTCAGCATCTTCATGGTGGATGGTGCAGATGTTCAAAACGATGACGTCCTTTCATAAAGACAGACATGTTACTCATAACTCTGCAGGGAGCAGGAAACTTCTACTGACCATCAGTGGTTGAAATGAAGGAAAGAAGATGAGTTTTTAGCGAACCTCCTGCAGGATGAACTTCAGTCGACTTCAGTCTCCCAGTGTGAAACTGCTGAACAAGGACCAGCTCTTACAATAAATACTCTGACCAACAGGTAGAAATCCAGGAACAGAGGCAACGCACAGGGACAACACAGAGACAGAAAGTCAAACAACTAATAATAGAACTCCATTGAATTCTCACTGATATTTATCTAGACATGGTTATGGTCCAACAACGCCCTGTTGTCAAAGTAAAGTTTAATGTCCTCTAGAGGAAAACATATGTTCACTGCTTTAAAAGTAAATAAGGGATTAATATATTCACATGTCTCTGTAGAAGTGTGTGACAGAACATTAAACCAGCCATGACCTTCATCTGATCAAAAGGGAAAAAATATTGTCTTATAGGATGGTGCTTTGGTTCCTGAGAAGTCCAGAGATGCCAGTTTCACACCCTTGGTTCAATGAAGCTTCACTCATCAAGATTTCATCGATCAGATCAAATATTAAAAGGCAGATCCGGGAAGTTGTAAATGTTGGCAGAAATAACTCATTGCTTTATTTCACTCATATTTATCTATGGATGATGTTGGCATGACAACGCCCTTATCAAGTTTCACATACTGCCCTTTAAGTCAGCGGGCAAGCAGTCAAAGTAAACTGTGATGTCCTCTAAAGGAAAATGTTTGCTCACTGCTTTAAAAGTGAATAAGGGATTTTGACATTTCTGTAGCAGTGTGAGGCAGAACACCAAACCAGCCAACACCTTTAGGTGCTGCTCAACTAGTAACGCCACACCTAGTTTAATGAAGCTTCACTCATCGAGATTTTATGGACCAATTCACTTTGTGTGCTGTGAAATTGATCGCTTGTATTAAGGGTGTTGGTTTAGTCAGGTGGACACTTGCTCTGACAGATATTTGATATATGAACTGATGGCAAACTCTTTCTGTAGAGCAGCTGGTTTGAAGTCGAGTTGAGAATATCCCCGTCTTTCCGTCTTTATCATAGTAATCAACATTTTGCAGAAAACGCACAAACCTGGCAACTCTGCATAGATGTTACGGGTAACATAGAGGAGAGTTAAAATGGCATGATGGGTAAAAATATTGGTAGAGACAATTCAGAAACACATTAACATTGACAGGGACAAGGCAATGTTATTTAGTGTTTAACTTGACCATTGGTTACATTAGCAGCTTAAATGCTGAGGTTTTATCTTTGTTTGCATTTGTTTTTTTTAGCTCAAGGTTCAGGGTGAGGTCTGTTTTTAGTTTTAATACTTTATTCATATATGTTTGATTTTTGGTGAGATGTTCAATCATTTGAACATTCATTGAAATGACACCCTTTCAGAAATTTAGATTACACAGCTGATTTTTGTAAGAAGTCAGAGGCCAGAAAGGTTGGAAACCAGTGGTTTAATGTTTAACAGTGAGTAAAATCTTCACCTTAAAAGTAACTAGTAACTACAGCTGTAATGCAGTGGAGTAGAAAGTACTTTCTCTCTCTAACGAACTGTAGGGGAGTGGGAGCACAAAGTATTATAAAATGGAAATTCTCAAGTAAAGAACAAATATATAAAAATGTACAAGTACAGTACTTGAGTAAATGTACTGTAGCTCCGTGATTGATTTCAAATGCAATTATCTTTTCTGTTGTCTCCTCTCCTGTCTGCTCTGACGGTGCAGGAAGTGTGTGGATTGAGGATATGGGTTGTGCCGATGGGCAACGATCACCCTCTGCTTCTAACCTTCCTTCAGTCCTTATATAAATGACTGTAAAGTTATATGTTGTAAGACTTTCCACAGTTACAGTTTTGTGAAGCAGGATGAAGCTTTCATGACCACAGATACCCAGCAGGGGGCTCTCTCACCAAGCGAAACTATTAACAGCCATCGACTTTAGTATTAAAGAGGGAACAGTGCAGACGGCTCATTAGTACCTAACACCTTGCAAATACTTCCTGTTGAATTCTGAAAACAGGTCAGATCACAGTGAGAAACTTGACGCCAGCTTTATTTACTCTGTACTCAACATTCCCATGTGGAATCAGAAAATCTGCGGTCCTCGTCTCCTTTAACCAATTTCATTTCCCTCAATCACTAAAAGAACGAGAAAAACAGCAACAAAATGAGTCGTGATGGATGTAATTTTATTAGAACATAAACTTCCTGTAATCTCTTACCTTTTTGTGAGTTACAGTCGGACAAATAAATAACGGAAGGGTTTGTAGGCACAAACAATGATGAGGAGCTTTGTTATACTTTTGTTTAAAGTTCTCAAGTTCAGAACAGGCTGATGAGTTTCTGATGATCCTGGCCACTCTCTTGATCAGCTGCAGGCTTTGTTGGCCAGCACAGGGTCCGGTGCATGTATACGCCTGACAGGTCTGTATACAGCCACAGAAGAGAATGACAAGGAGTGTCTCCTCATGGGTTCACCTGAAACACCAGTGGGTGGAGAAGGTCATCAGAAGATAATGGAACCTGGGGCCCTGATGGTGCAGGGCAGTGGTTCCCGCCCTGTGGGCCGTGAAGGTATTGCAAGTGGGTCGACAAACCATTTGTAAAACAGAACAATTTCAGTGAAACGATATCATTATTTAAAAAAAACTGCAAAAAATAAAATAAATAAAAATAATGTTTTTAAATGTTTTAAAATGAAATGAAACATTAAAAATGTTGTTTTTTTCTCTTATTAAGACCTATATTAAAACATCTGACCTCTGTATCATTCGAGGTCGGATGTGGGCCACAAACATTTTTGAGAATTTCAAGTGGGTCGTGAGTTGGAAAAGCTTGGGAACCACTGGTGTAGTGTTCTTATTTATCAAACTGTCAAATGTAGGATTTACACTATTACGTATTTCAAGGATAAAACATGAAGCAGCACTTTTGTTGCTGCCTCCAGATGATAACGAACTGAAACAGAAGCTTTTCATACAGTTCTAAGGTTTATTTATGGGGACATTCTGTTGGATGGACCAGTAATCACATATTTTGTTCTTGTTGATAAAACCATCAGAAAGACTATAGCACTTCTCCTCACACCTGTTGCTGCAGCAGTTGGAGTTTGCTTTCAATTCTATGTATTTAAAAAATTATACTTGTATTCAGCTTTCATGGGTTATAAATTATAAATATTTATTTTCTCTGAAGCTTCGGGGAAAGTAGGCCAGTTTCTTTTCACACCACATCCTGTTGGCTTGTACGAGCAGCCATGTACTAGGTTCATACCCAGTCCTGTTTGTAAAAACAGCAGCATGACTGAACAGGAAACTAAAGAAAGATGTTACTGTTAAATTTCTAAATGTAAATTGATTGGTTTAAAAGTGGCGTGGTCCATTGTCCACCATTTTTGTCCAGACTGAAATCTGAAAGTTTGTACAGATGTTCCTGTTGCCCAGAGGAGGGACTGTTGTAACTCTGATGATTTTTCAACTTTTCCATTAGATCAAAACTTTTAACTTTTAATTTGTCCAGTACGTCGGTTTATGACTAAATACCTGCACAGCTAACGACATTCCCATCAGCCTCAGTGTTTAGTGCTAATTAGCAAATGTTAGCATGATGATGAACATGCTAAACATTATACCTGCTACACATCAGCATGTTAGCATGCAGATATTAACATTTAGCCCAAAGCACCGCAGTAATTCAGTCCAGCCTCACTCGGACGAACCCTTTAAAAAGAACCAGTCTCCTTCAGTCGAGTGTTTTCAGTGAGTTTGATGCTGAAATGTCTCGTTCACATTTAAACTCACAGTTTGCTTCCTTGACAGGAGGGTGTAATTTTTCTCACTTGCACAGACTGACCTTTGTGGCTCCTGCAGAGGCAGAGCAGCATCACAGAGACTGAGACCAGGAAGAGGGCGACGTTCACTACAGGAAGTAGATCAAGTGCGAGGGGGGACTGAGGCGGCTCAGGATGCCTGGCTTCAGAACAGAAATACCACAGGTTGGCCTCAATGCAACAAAACAACAAGCGTGACTGGTGGGTCGGTGACTGGTGAAGTCAAAGACATTACAGTCATCAATCGTCTCATCTACAGTAGCTGATGGTGAAACAGTAAAACAGTAAGACGTTGTGATTCTTTAATATTTAATTCTGAGCCAAACTAAGACCATTAAACTTTGTGGCCAACTTTAAAAGACAAAACCTCTGATTAAGAAAAATGAGAGACTGAAGTTAAACAATCATCTCACCCCTGACTCTCAACCAGCTGCCTGTCGACTGTCCGGCTGCAGAGATGTTACACCTGTAGAGTCCTTCATCAGCTTCAGAAACACTGTGGATGGTCATGTTTCCTGTGGAGCTGCTCCTGATGAAAACATCATCTTTGTAGAAATCAGCTGTGAGGTTGGAGGAGGAAGTGATGTTTGTGCAGCGCAGCGTCACATCGTCTCCCTCCATCACAGGGAGGACGGGACTCTCCAGGATCACGGAGCCAGCTGAACGACAGACAAACATCACACAGCTGTCATGTGAGCACCAGAAACAGGGCAATCACTGTTTGAACAAACGACCATTGTGGCAATTTTTTATATGTGAGGACTTTAACAAGAATGTTTCCAGATCATTGTTTTTCTCCCCCCTACAGAAACCACAACTTTAGCTTGTTTAAACCCACCTGTTACAGAGATGTTGATGGTGTTGCTGCACACTCCTGCTCCGGACTCACACCAGTACACTCCAGTTTCACTAAGGTAAGCTTCTTCAATGAAGCAGTTGGAATCATTTCCTCTATCCAAGAACGCAGGACAATCTCCATTCGTTATTCTGGACGTGTTCCTCTTAACCCTCCACCCAGAGGAGTTTCCCTGCTGCCCACAGCTCAGAGAGACGGACTCGTACTGGAAGAACTGGGATCTGTTGGGCAGGACTGTCAGAGTGGCTGCAAGGAACACAGAAAACTCAGGTTTATTTTTTATTCCTACTGAACAACTAGGAAAAGTTTGCTGATGTGTAAACACTCTTTGCCGCTGAAGAACGCTGCAGTACATAACAGCAGTTCACACCACCAACAATCAAAGACAATCACCATTTCCTACAGACGACATTGTCACGTTTGTTTTGTCCGACAAAATGAGACGTTGCATAAACTCTGTTGTAAAATAAAGCTCTTCTTCTTCTTCTGTTGAAATCAAGGTTATTACCACAAACCAGGCTTTAGACACATCACACATGTTCCTGGGTGACCTGGAGTACTCACCAACGACAGTGCAAAGCATTGTGATCTCCATGCTGCCTCGCTGCTGACTGACTGACTGACTGAGTAACTGACTGAACAGCTGGATGGAGGGCTGCATCACACCTCTGACTTCATGTGAGGCCACAGCTTCCTGCTGTCATCATACACTCCATATTACAAATGTTTGAAGCATGAAGCATGTTTGTGCTAGATGTCAGCATTGGGCCTCGGTCAGCGTTTATGCCTCTGGATTCAAATGCTAAAGATGTAGCAGTAAATCAAGGCGCCTTTTTGTGTTTTTTACATAGAAAACAACAGTGGCTTTATGTAAACAAACTGGAATGCAGAGGGTTAACATCCTGAAAATGATTGAATATTTGGTAGTTATGATCAGGAGGGATGTTGAATTAAAAAAAAAAAAAATGAAAGTGGAAAATAATGTAATAAATAATATCTTTATTGGAGTTTTTGATACAGACATTTTTACCCTCTAAAGACCACAGTGCGAGTTTTGTAAAAGGACGCAAAGGGTTAATTAGCAAGAAGAAAGTGTTGGATAAAACAAATAACCAAATGTAGCTGATGGTATTCTAATACTAATGAAAATCTATTCTTACTTTAAAAAAATAGAAATAAACAAAAGTATACATTTTGTACATCAGGTTATTTATAATATGCAACAAGGAAGATAACAAACAACATCATATTGGCACATGGACGTCTTTTATCCAGAGAGGAAACAAATTTTACTGAACTGTTTAGTGTACAGTGACTTCAGGAAGTATTCACACCACTTGTCTTTATTGGGATTTAGATTTACTTTAAATTGATAAAATTGCTATTTTCATCCAACAATCTACGCTCAATAATCCGCAACAAAAAAATGAAAACATGGTTTTGAAAATTTTGCAAATTTATTAAAAATGCGAAGTGGAAATCTCTCATTCACAAAAGTATCCACGCCCTTCTCTGTGGTCAGGTGCTTGTTGAAGTATCCAGAGCTTGACTGAAGTCCACCTGCGGCAAATTGAATTGATCAGATGTAGTATAGAAAAACGCACATCTGTGCACATCTGCCTCCTGTCTATTTATTCATTTTGCATTCTGCAGCTATAAGTCAGAGAAAAACAAAGAGGTGGAGAAAAATACTTACTTGCCTCTCAGGTGAACTCATGACACCAATTCCTTTAAACCTTCTTCACACATCGTTATACACAACTCAACACACAACTCTCCAAGACATTCGCCGCAGCTATCCACACATCCGTCGCACTGACCTAAACAAACAACACAATGATGAGGGAAACTAAGAGATGAAGTATTAATGATAGAGTTTGAGAAGTAAAAGTCCTGTTGATTTATTCTGTTTTCTTCTACTCAGGGCTTAGATGACTTAAAATCTGTTGAACCATCAGTTAAACTGTGATCAACTGCATTGGCAAATATCCTCATCATGTATGAACCTTTGTACGTAGAAGTGTAAGAATAGAATAAAACTTATTTCCTGGAATTATTGAGGTTATAATGGAAACGTTCAAATGGAAATTTATGATGGGAAAATGTGGAGATAAGGAATTTATGACTTACTCGCTTGTGTTCTGTTCTCCTGAGAGCCGGCTGTCCCAACCAAGGCAACGACAATAACAATGACGATGACGATGCCAATGATAACAATAATACCGACGTCGAGTCCAATGCCAAACTGGGGACCTAAAAGAATGGAGGAAGTATTCAAGCAGTGGCAGGAACTTTAAGTTAAGTACAACCTGCCAATAACTCCATTAAAAGTAAAGGTTTTGCATTTCAAATTAAATTGAAATAAAAGCATCAAAAGCGAAAAGTTTCCTCTTTTCAATGAATGAATTATAATACATAATAAAAAAAGAAAATCAATTCACATCTTAATAATGTGTAACCTAATTTTTTAATAAATGGAAACATATTTACTCACCAGTGTCCACTGTTTGCTTTGCAGTGCTGTCTCCATCTTCTGGCACTGTTGAACAGTTGAGAGGTGTGTTGAAATATGGGATAAAGTCTCATCCACACCATTACAGGAAAATAATGTTTCTTTTTTGTTATTATTTTTTAAATTATTTTCAGAACTTAAGGATGTTTGGTTCTGTTTCAGAGCTCAGTGGTGACCTCTGCTGGTGACTGTGAGGAAAAGCGCTGTGGGGCAAAATGTGTCACGACTGATCAAGGTCACAGCGACTTCACAAATCATGATTTAGACCTTGTGAACGAAAATCTCCAGAACTCCTGAAGGAGAGATACGACCACGAGGCGGTGATTCTAGTTTTGTTGTTGGTTCGACCATTAGTTTTCTCAGCAGCTGTTTGATTACTGATGTCAGCAAATTGTATATTCAAGTCAAACTGGGAAAGACACATGAGCAGTGACACAGTCGAACAAGCTGAAAACTGAATTTTAATCAATTGAAGAGAATAAAACAACAGGCAAACAGTTCCTCGATTACCAATCATCTACCGCCGTTCACACACTGACTGGTGCAACTTGGACTTTCTGTTCACCAGTTGAATATTATGCAATGAGGGTTTCTTCTGAGTGTGGGCACTTCCACTTTCAGCTCCAGAGGAAGTGGTATCCTTGTTTACAGCCGGTCTGATGATGTGATGGCTTGTGTCAGAATTAGGTTAAAGCTGTTGGTTGCTGGCTGTGTAGTTTTACAACCTGTTCTACACATATATGTATATGTACTATTTCAATTTTCTTTTGTATGTTTCACCAGCATTTGTGAAAAAGGTCCTTTTAATGATCAGTTATTCGGCTGTTAGTGTTTTAAAATGCAGGCAGTTTGTGTAATACTGAACCTTGAGACATTATGATTCAATATACATCGACTGATCAGCCTGAGTTGTTAAACTTATCAAAAAGTATTGACAGTTAATCCTTCGAATGATTGACGAGTAGCAGGTACCACCATTATAATTTGTTAAATTCACTAAAATCCAGAATTCCTTTTTTTATTGAATTACTCACTTTCCTCTGTCTTTGTAAATAACCTGAAGCTAAAATGACAGAACATTTAAAAGGACCTTCAAATGACTGTTTACGTATTCTGTGTTCTTGCATAAATGTCAAGATGAAATGACCAAAACCCAACAATAAGTGTAACAACTCTTGCCAATGTCAGTTAGGATTATAGTAAACAAACGTACCTGTTGAGGCCACATGAGTAAGAAGCAAAATAATGAATCCCACCACTGGCTTCATTATGCTTGGTGAAATCAGTCAGCTGCATAAAGAATCACAAAACACCGATGCCGCTGAGTAAGCAGAGTCGAAATATTCCTATAGACTTATCACAAACTAAGGCAATCAGACATTTCCTTCAGCCCATGGACGACATCTTCCAGCTCTTCTTTTGTCCAATAAAATGAGACGTTGCATAAACTCTGTTGTAAAATAAAGGTCTTCTTCTTCTTCTGTTGAAATCCAGGAAATTACCACAAAACAGACTTTTGTCACATCACACATGTTCCTGGGTGAACTGGAGTTCTCACCAACGACTGACTGACTGACTGACTGACTGACTGACTGACTGACTGGCTGACTGACTGACTGACTGACCTGCGACTTTATGTGAGAGAGGCCACAGGTTCCTGCTGTAATGACAAACTCCATATTACAAAAGTTTGAAGATGGATGTCAACAACTCCAGCCTCCTCTTACTTTGTTTTACCTGAAATAACAAATGTATCAGCAAATCAAAGTAATTCATTAAACTTGCAGTAACTTTCATTTTCCACTCGGGGGCAGCAGAAACAAAAATTAGCATCATTATCATCAATGGTCAACTGTGGAGTTTTCTTGATAAGAATCAAAGTCTGTGTTAATATTCAGTGTTAGTCATCAAGACACTATGTGTGTATCATTGAAGTCTAGTCACTTTCATTCCATATAAATCTCTTAAAAGTTTGGAACTTAATTTGTTTACTTTCACACTTGGAGTCATTTTTGATGCCTCAGTGTGGTAATGTTGACATGTCCAGGCCACGCCCCTGGAAATTTGTTAACAGAATATAATAAATGTGAAAATAAATATGTTATATATGTTGGAATGGATTAATGTGAAAGAAATAAATGTACAAATGTTACAAAAAATGTGTAAATGAATAAATAAATGTGAAAATAAATTAATATGACAGAAAAAAAATATAATATAAAATATATTTTTTAAAATCATCACAGTCAATTTATTTATTCATGTATTTATTTATTTTTTCATTCAACATTTGGGAGCCCAAACCACTCAATGGGAAAACAGGATCCCTTAAAGATGAAGGTTAGGAACCAGTACTTCTTGTATTACCCCGTTTCATCAAAGGGTGTTAGCATGTTCATTTCTACAGTTTTATTAGCGGATTAAATACATTATAGAAGCAAATGTCAGTTCCCTGTTTCCATGCCCACAAAGATACCTTAAAATACTTTATTTAACAAACAAGGAAGAAAGTGGAGCTCATGAAATTCAATATTTTCGTACCTAAATGAAGCAAAAATTCCTTAAAAATCCCAATTGTAGGAAAATTTAACAGATTATAAAAAAAGTTACCCATCGTCTCCCCAGGTTTTAAAAGTTTTTCACACCAGGTTAATTTGAATATACAACAAGGAAGATAACAAACAACAGACTTTTATCCACAGAGGAAACAATTTGAACTGTTTTAGAGGAAGTACAGAGGCTTCAGGGAGTAATTAGGCCACTTCTCGTTACTCTGTCGTAGATTTACATTTAAATGGGTGAAATTGCTATTTTGGTCGGCCAAAATCTACGCTCAACAAACAACAATGACAAAGTGACTACATGTCTAGAAATTTAGTGAAACCCAAAAGCGGAAATCTCTCATTCACAAACGTGTCCACACCCTTTGCTGTGGTCAGCTGCTTCCTGTTTGCTTTAATTACGCGTGAGATGTGTCCAGAGCTTGATTGAAGTCCACCTGTGGCAAATTGAATTGATTGGATGTAGCATAGAAAGACACACATCTGTCTACATAATAATAATAATAATAATAATAATAATGATAATAACATATAATAAGTAGAGATATAAGATGAGAAATAATGTGGGGATAAATACTTACCGGCCTCTCAGACTGCCTCAGACTGCAGACCTGCTTCAAACAAACCTACACTTAATTGGACACACGTCTCTCCAAGACAGTCGCAGCACATGCCCAAATATTTGTCTCTGTTACCTAGACAACAAAACGTGGTTGAAGCTCAATGTGAGAACTGTGCAATAGTTTATAATCCTTTGAATGGAACATGAAGGAGTCACAGATGATGCTGCCTCGTCTGTTTCTGCATTTGGGTCCTACTTCCTGTCGCCTGTTCAATTATCCAAAGTTTCAAATGGAAATTTATAAGGGGGAGAAATGTGGAAAAGAGGAATTCCTGACTTACTCTCTTCTGGTGTGCTCTCTTCAGAGTCCACCATCCCAACCAAGGCAATGACGATGACAATGACGATGACGATGCCAATGATAATGATAATACCAGCATCAAGGCCAATGGCAAACTGGGGACCTAAAAGAATGGAGGGAATATTTAAGCAGTGGTGGGAAGTTTTACTTAAGTACAACGTGCCATTAAATTCCATTACAGGTAAAGGTTCTGCATTTAGAAGAACAGAAATTGTACCAGGAAGTGTCATAATATGTGTGAGTTAAGTTTCTGTTAATTCTACAGAAAGAAACAAAACATATTTACTTACTCGGATCCTCGGTCAGCTCTGGAGCGTTGTCTCTATCTGGCACTGTCAAACCGTTCAGAAAAAAATGTTACAATGTGGAATAAAGAAGTTTTTTTTAGCTGATAAAATAAATTAATTTAAAAATGTGCTACAGCCAATCCATCATCCATCATTATGATTAATTAAAATCACTCAAAATCCAGATTTTTCCATGTAATTTCTCACTTTCCCTCTGTCTTTGTAAATGATGCTAAAACAAACTAAATATAATTGTAATAAGTAACTTAACAGTAACTTGGAAATGTCAGGTAGAAGTGTAGTAAACGAACGTACCTGTTGAGGAAACATGAGTAAGAAGCAAAGTGATGAATCCCACTGCTGCCTTCATTATGCCTGGTTAAATCAGTCAGCTGTAAAATTAAGAAAGAAAATTGTCCTTGTTGTGAAAATTAAGTAGTGCCAATCTGTCACAGCGATAAAAACAGAAACCTCTGCTTCCTTTTATAGTGTCTGAGGAGGGAAGTTGGTTTCACATTTCTGAATGGTGCCAAAGAACATCCAGTGAGCTGTGGTTCTGCAGACGGAAACATCCTGTTGAAGAGGGAATCTCAACCTGTGGAACCGATGCAACAAAGAACTGAGGCTGTGGAAGAGCAAAGGGAGGAACTACCTAGTATTACAGCGGTATGGTGTTCCTAATAAAGTGAGAGTATTTACCATAGTGCTCAAATATTCCTACAGTGACTTGTAGAGGTTCAGGCATTTAAAGTGCACACAGGGTTAGCTGTAGATAGATAGATATTATCCTGATTTTCTGTGTGTGCACTGGGATTTGATGGACAATGGAAATGACTATGAAGAGAAGAAATTATATCATGGCAAAAAGTTGGCTCAGATTTTAGAAAGAGAAAACATCAATAAAATGAATCCAAAAAGCTAAAACACCTACAACTATTAAACCATGATAATTCCTTTTCAAAACACCCACAAAACATTCACAAACTTTTAAGTCATAATAATCTCTATAGTAAAAGAGAATTGAAATGAATTAAACACTTGTTGCATCTGTCATTAACCAAGTGAAATATTTTTACACATGCTATTATTACCTGTGAGAGCCCAGTCACCAGTGATTATATTGATCTAAATAAAACTGTTCAATAAATACTAGTTTTAAACCTTTATACATGTGTTTTAGTAGCCAGATGTTGCAATAATTATTCTTTACTTTCCACCCATCATGCCATAGTTAAGGTTGTTTGAAATAAATGTAAAAAAAAAGAAGAAGAAAGAATAAGATGCTGCACCAACATCAGAATATCTCTCAACACTGCCACCTGGTGTCCAAAGTGATAAACAGCAAGTGGAAAAAACAAATACAATATACGGCCCAGACAGAAACAAATAACCAACATAAATGCATCAGTCATACCGTGTTTGACTTAACAGCCAAACTCTGGCATTTGACTGATCTGACAAATCAAAGATTTTATACAAGCATCAGTAAAAATATACCTGCAGCAATTGACTGAAAGCTAGAGGTGTATTTAGAATGCTGTACCTTTAAATATCTTATTGCAGTTGCATGATTATGTCCATATTTACTGTACTAAATCCAAAGGCTGTACAAACTTTATCTAACAATTTGTGAAGCACTGTTTTTACTAAACAAATCTCCAATGTGATCACAGCCTAATGTTTTATGAAGGAAATGTAGGTGACAGTTTTGACTGTGATTATCTGTCGTGTTTCAAAGACAATAATGTGATCCTGGAGAGTCCAGTGTCTCCTGTGTTGGAGGGAGAATCTGTGACTCTGCGCTGCACAACTCAAAGCAACTCTTCACACCTGCAAGCCAGCATCTTAATGAGGAACAGACCTCCTGCCGGTGCAGGAGATCTGACAATACACATTTACATTAGTGGCAAAATTCAAGAATGCTATTAATACTAATAATGATTATAAAACTTTATTTGTATAGCACTTCACAACATTTAATATGAAACAAACAAATCAAAGTAACAATGAAAATAAACATCACTGGACTCTGTGAGTCTGGTCTCCTCTGGCAGGTTGATCTAAAGGCCTGAAATAAATGGGCAGCCGGTGCAAGGATGCTGAAACAGGGCTGATGTGAACTCAGTTTTTTGGAGCTGAGCAGCTGCATGGTGAATGTGTGTGTGTGTGTGTGTGTGTAAACTAAAAATACAACTGAAATACAAAGCGTTCATGTCCACCTTTGGGAGCAGGGAGACGTTGTACACCTTCACTACATCGTGGTGTGCCTGAAGACAGCAGGAGGAAGTGTGTTTGTCCTGTGTCTGTGTTGTGTCTGCGTTCACACACTTTCACAGGGATGTGGTCAGAATAAGTGGCGCATTATAAAGACACAGGGTTTTAATAAAGTTTAACAGGAAGGTCAGAGTGTGAGAAACAGCTCACAGAAAACAGTGTGAAGCTCTATTGTCACTGTATAGAGTTGTATATATACATATATATACATATATATTATTAGACCCATAGTTTTGTTGCTACAGCCAACACTGACCTGATGTGGGTGTTAGGGGTTTAATGAGTCCATGAAACGTCATAAATGTGTGATGCATCGTGTTGAAGGCTGACCACAGCGAGTGTATTTCTAAATCTGCAGCAGCTCTTTTCTCATTAATAGCACCATGTGAACACGTCCTCGCATGAAACACAAACTCTGCTGTGATGATGTGTTCAACCTGTGCAATGACAGAGGTAGAGCAAATGTTATGATGTAACATGGGATGTGGAAGTTGCCACCATTAAAACAGTAATTACTGTACCTCAGTCTTACCTACATGATCACTAATTGAAGAATAGACAACAGGCTCTTCTGGTTGGCATGGCTTGGTACTTGCTCCGGACTCTTTTGGTTCTGTTTGGAAACACATCAAATGAACATACCTGTCAGTCTACACTATTAACTGGCCAGACTGTTGTTTCCCGCCCTCCTTCTGTAAGTTACTTGTGGGTTTAATCAAACAGGTTTCTTCAGTATTGATAATGATAGAATGGTTTACTTTGTTGTATCTTTGTGTATTGTATTATTAAATTAGGGTTCCCACTGCAAATATATTTTTGTTTGTTGAATGAATTTCTTAAAACCTTCCATCTCACGGTGACTGTGTCAAACTGCACAACGTCTTCAATGTAGACGGTTAAATGAACATTTGTTTCAGCCTGTGGTTTTCTCATGTGGTTTATAACTGAAAGGATCAAATTATCACCTGCATCAACATCTTAGAAGTACTAGAAAGGAAACAGTGTTCAGTCTTCAACAGACGGACTGACATCTACTCATCCCTACTGTTGACATGAGAAACCTACAAGTTGGTGAAGTTTAAACGGTCGCCATGTTCAGATATTTGACTGAACGTGTTCTCTAATGGTAGTTCCACTGACCAGGAATATCTACAATATTTTGTTCCAATCCTGAGGGTTGAACAAAATGATTATGATTCATCCTCTGGGAACCATTAATGTGACTGAGATATTTCAGTCTGAACTGAAGAGGTAGAACAACTGACCAATAGACCGGCATTGCTCTGTAGAACCACGCTGCTAGCATTTAAAGAACATGTGATATACCTTTCTCCTTGCTTGGTTTTCTGACAGTAGCATACGTCACGTTGTGTTGACCAGCCACATCATCACCACCTGTGACAAAGAATAATGATAATATAAGAAAGAATAACACGTCATTTTCTATCCATGCTTCATTTTTGTGCTTCTGCGCCGCCGACAGCCGTATTGTTTTCAGTTCTCCGTTCTCGTGGACACAATATCTCAGTAACGCCTTGAAGGAACTTCTTCAAATTTGGTACAAACGTTCACCTGGACTCAAGGGTGAACTGACTACATTTTGGTTGTCAAAGGTCAAAGGTCACAGTGACATCACAACACACGTTTTTAGCCATTACTCTTCAGAAAGACTTCACAAAGCAATTATGACAAAATTCCACACATTAGTCTGAGTGATGGAGAGATACAAACACAAGGAAAGTGTTTCATTAGGGTTTGGCTGTGTTATAGTGGATATAAGAATATTATTTAATAATACCAGTTAAGTAAAAGTGAAATAAAACATCATGTCTCGTTCTCCTCTCTTGGTCTTTGGAGAAGCTCGTATGTCATGTGATGTGTATCAGCCGCACCGTCACCACCTGTGACTGAAAATATTGTGACTGTATTTATTTTCCATGTTACTGTTTTACATACTAAACAAATCATGGTATTAAAATCGATCTTAAAACCAAATTCCTCTGATGATTAAGACAAACTTTGAGTAACACAAATTCCCTGTGGTTTTGTGCTGCAAGAAGGTAAATACATGAAACATCATGTACCTTTTCCCTTCCTTGGTTTTCTGACAGTAGCATATGTTAGATTGTATGGATCAGCCGCAGCATCACCGCCTGTGGCTAAAAACAAACAACAAACAAACAAACAAACAAAAAATCATCTTATATCCAGGCAGCATTTTTTTCATATTCATTTTTAGCTGTTTTGCATGTGCTTAAGAAGCATTTTAGTACCTAAAGGTGACTTCAAATTTCTCCAGTAACTAAGACCAAATGTGTTGCACCACAGATTTGCTGTGTTTTTATGTATATTATGTAGATTAATAATGTATATTATTACATGTATAAACCTTTGTTTAAATACCAGTTAGTAAAAGTAAAATAAAATAAATGTATGAAAAAAATGCATGTGGATCAGCTGAAGTTTCATTGGCTGAAAGAAACACAGGACAAAAGAAAATAAAAGACATTTGTAATAAAAAAAGAAATAACACCACAGTTTATTCCATGACTTAAACAGTAAACAGTCAAACAGTTTTAGTGTAAGATAGTCAGGGTCTTTACCACCAAGAAATTAGCTTTGTGGTAGAGTAAAATATATTAGAGTAGAGTCATAATTTATATCATTCAGACAATAGTATGAAACTTGCTGGCCAAAATAAATCACAGCCCCGTGATGGGATTCAAACTGATGTGCAACATTTACATAATTACAGTAAGTCATACAACTTCATACAACAATGTAATTAAAAATGTTGAACACAAGAAAATACAATAAAATTTACTTTATATTTTTTAATAACAGTCACGTTCCTGTCTATGAAAACTGTTAAAGACTTTACTTAATTAATTTCAATTAATATAACTTGACTTTAATATCATTAAGTAACATTTACTTAATATCTTCATGAATTTTACATTTTACTTGATATTGTCAAGTTAGTTTTAAAAAGTACTTTCTTCAGTGCAGCACAATAATTTGAGACGGATGTGACACGTATTTAAACACATCTATAAATCATCCCACATAAATTCATACAGTTAATAAATTAATAAAGTAATAAAATGAATACACAACTCCAGGAACTAAAGCTGCAGTTAAAGCAGCGTTCAGCAGTTACCTGTGGTTGTGCTGCTGCTGCTGCTGAAATGAAAAATGAAATGAAATGAAAGGTTGGCTTCATTTTTGTAATACCCCCACCACCACCAGCAGCACCAGCAGCACCATCACTAGAACAGTGACAACCATCCGCAGCCAGGGGAGGGCAGGAGGAGTCTCCTCATGATGTTCTGAAGAGACTGAAGGCACTACAGAAAAAAACAAACTTCATGATGCAGCTCTCATTACACTTCTTCTGTACCATCTGTACCATACGCAAAACAATCAATCAATAACCAATATTTAGTTTATGTCTCACCTCTGACAGCCAGCAAACTCTGTGGTGATTCTCCAGCTCCAGAGATGTTACATCTGTAAAGACCTTCATCTGACTTGGAAACATTTTGAATGGTCATGTTCCCTGTGTACCCAGTCTTGATTAATTTGTCATCTTTATAGAACTCAGCTGCAAGATCGGGAGGACTTTTTTTCTTTTTGCAGTGAAGAGTCACGTTGTCCCCCTCCGTCACTGGCTCGACAGGACTCTCCAAGATCACAAAACCACCTGAAGAATATGCAGGAAAGATTTTATTTGAAACATGTTTTGATGTTTACATTAGAAATTGTTGTCCCATTAAACAGAAACTGAAGAACCAGTTGTAGGTCTGAGTAAAGAGGGTCAAACTTTGACGGCGCTCAATCAAAACTTAGCTGGAATACAACTGGTTTGTATCAGGTAAAATCTTTGTGATACTATAGCAGTCAAAAATGGGCAAAGAGGAGGGCATGTTTGGAGATTAGATTTAGGTGCATGCCAGTTTGTGGCGAGCACATGCTCACCCACCTGTCACTCATAATGTAAACAGGTGAGTTATATAAACAGGTGTCATGAAGGAGGAAATTAGCTTTAGAGACCAAAACAGTTTTTGTACCAGGCTGTAAACATGTTTCTTTCTGCTGTAAAGTTGAACATTTTAACATGGGAGTCTATGGGGACTGACTCACTGTTGGAGCCAGACTCTAGTGGTCATTACAGGAACTGCAGTTTTAGCACTAGAGTGTTGCATTCAAGTTTCTGCTCCAGAGTTTGATGATTGATAACTTGGCTGCTGCTGCACAGTTGAGGTTCCCTCTGGTGGATGGGAGGGTTTTGTTGAGTCTGTTCAGTCACTTCTTAGTACATAGACTTTTAGCTTTTTTTTCCTGTTTAAATTGTTTTTGTTTACAATATTATGTGTGGTGACTAAATAAAAATTCTTCAATACTTCAGTGTTGAGGACAGAAAGAGAGTTACTAGAGACAGTTACTAACTAAAACATACTAATCACGGTGACGTTGAGAGCGTTGCTTTTCCGTCTGTCTCCATCCTCACACCAGTATTCTCCACTGTCTGAAGCAAATGAAGGATAAATTCTGCCAGATCCTGCTGATGTCACCCAGTTTGAAGTGTTTGTACGTTTAATTTCCTTCAGTGTCCTCATCACTGTCCATTCAGCTGAGCCATCAGATGTGCAATTTATAGAGATGGACTCATATTCAAAGAACTGCAGTCTGTTTGGAAGAATACAAGGAAAAGCTGCATCTGAGACAGAAACATAGAGGAAGAAATGAGTTAATGTCTTACACCTTCTTGGTTCTGAATCAAAAATAAAAACACTTTTAAGAGGAAAGTTTGTAGTGAGTATTACCATGGCAATAATGACATTTTTAATGATATTATAACAGTCATTGAAGTTAAAGAAATTCTACATGCACAACATAAATTATGGCCTGCAACATGTTTTGTTTTAAACAGTTATAATATCTGGTGAGAGACAAAAGCTGAGCAGCAGCGCCCAGAGTCTTGGTCTGTGGTTCACAGAGTGTGACCTTGTTTTCTCTCATATATTCTCATACTTTTGTCTCATTAATACAGAAGCCATGTTTTTTAAACAGCAGATATTTGATTTAAAGAACAAGTTCCTTCATTGCACTGACTGTAGCTTACCAACTTGTTGAGCACAATAACTGTGCTGCACTTGTGCAACCAGCACCATCAACACGTTCATCACTGGATAGACAAAGGGAGAGAGCTGCATCAGAAACACTGCAGATCATCTCACATGCAAAGTCACATGTATTTTGTGTATTTTGTGTATTTTGTGTATTTTGTGTATTTTGTGTATTTTGTGTATTTTGAAGAACTGTGTAAAGTGATATAAATGGATAATAACATTTTGATAGCACTTAATTTTATGGTTCACTAATAAGATGTAACAAGTTTTACTTTGTATAAAATTAGACAATAGTAAGATGTAACAAGCCCTAATTTGTATCAAATTAGACAACACTATAATTAATATATTGTTTATTAAACATTAAACAAACATAGTTATACTATATTTAGAAACCATAGGCATACATACATATTCAATCCAAAATAAACAATACTTAGACACTATTACCCCAATTATACTATAATTAGAAACCAAATAGGAGACCCTAATATACTATTAGGCACCATTTTACAAGTTCATAGTCTAATGAGAAATAAAAGACAATATAAGATCCAAAACATGTTACATTTAGGTGCTATTCTATTGGTTTTGATACAGTTAGTACACCTCATTACGTGTTATTAGTGTACCGTAAAATAAAATATGTAGAAGTAGAATAATAAAGTAGATAAATGATCTTTCTTCTGTCTCTGCTGCTAATAGAAATAAATTTAACATAACATCATGTATTTCTTTGTATTTAAACCTCGTACAGGAAGGAGGAGACACCCAGTACTCACTCGTCCTCGTGCAGAGAGCTGTGACCTCCATGACGTCTCGCTGCTGACTGTCTTGATATAAGACTGAAATGCAGACATAGTGAAATGGAGGCGAGGACCTCCTCTTCCTGTTGAGCTTATTTTTTGACGCTCGTGCATCGACAGGTTTGGTCTGTTTTTAAATATTTGTGACGTGGAGGCAGAAATATAAATGTGAAACCAAAATAAAAACCCACAGTCTTTCAGTGCAGAGTTAAAAACTGAATGTAAGGGAAGAACTAAGACCCAAAAAGTAGCTGACATGAAGCTACAGTAGGTTTCTGACTCTTTATCTGTCAGGACCAAAGGAGGAAGTAGTGAGGCGCTTGGACACAGGAGGTCACTATTACTATACATTCCTCTTTCCTTCCAACATTCAGCATTGGACACTTGTTACCATCACCACTATCATTCCCTGAACTTGAGCAAAAGGTTATTATTGCAAAGAGTTCCCTTAAGCTGATCAAGTTTTTTATTTCAATTGTCAAGTTTTATAGATGAAGTTCACTTTATGCATACTTATTCACAAAATCATTCTTACCCGATATTAGGTGAGAAACAACACTGCTTTGTTCTATTGAGAAATAGAGTTTGTTTTGTTTTTCAGAATGCCAAGATGTTTCACCTAAACGACGGATTATCAGTGTTCAGTAGGTCACTGTCCTCTCACACATGCATCTTCGTCACTATCTGTCTCCTTATACAGACTTGTGGAGGTAAAAATTTTATTTTCGGCTGTCCCTGACTGACTGACTGACTGAGTGATCATATTTCCACCACTGGTCAGCCAAATGCAAGTTGGAGTTTCCCTTTCAACCGTTGCTCTTTCAAATTAACTTAGCACATCGTTGCTAGACTAGAGACTTCATTTCAAACAGACCGTGACGGTCAATGACTGGCCCGTGTATGGATGCTGACCGGGGGCTTAGGGCTACAACTCTTGTTACAGGCAGTTTACCTGGCTACTCAGGAACCGCAGGGAAGCAGAGGAGAGCTTCCAATACACTGAGCCTCGCCTCAATTACAGCAAATTAACTACTTTTATTACATGTAACATTATCACTAAAGGAGGCAGAGTAATAACGAAACATAAGACACTGAGCAGAGAGAGAGGGAGGGAGAGAGAGAAGTCATCCCTAACTGCTAGAGAAACTAGCAGATCTGAATAGCATGCAAACAACAGAAATTCACACAACCGGAAATGAGACAATGCACTTACTGCAGAACAACAGTTTGGATTAACGTTTGCAGAAACTTTTACATGTGACTGAAAACGAGACTTTGTAACTGATAAATTGTTCAGGGAATAAATAAATCACTCCTAGCTCATACATGTAGAGTTGGCGATTGTTGTGTGCATGGAACAATACCCATTCAATGAGGTTAGCTAAGTGCTACCTCCAATTGCTAACGTAAATAATGACAAAACAAGAACCAAGTTTCTGGAAAAATGAATTCAACTAGAAATATATCTATTAATTGCTGGTATATTTGGAGGAATGCACATTAATGTTTAGATGCTTTATTCTTATGTTCTTTGGCTCACTGTTCTTCCATTTATTGTGTCTACTGCTTTTAAAGGTCATAAGGTCAACACAACTAATGCACCACCATTGAACTTCAGCACAACACCATCAGGTAAAGAAGTAGATGTAAATTGATCATGACATAGAGCAATAAAGCAGGTTTGAGTGGGTAAGCAATATCAGAAAATATTTTTATTTATCTCAAACTGCCTGTTATGTAGCCCCTCTGGCCTCCTTAAGAGGCCGCCTTAAAAGCACACCTTCTTCTGATTGGTGGAACTTCAGGAACCCTGCTGAAGCCTGCAGTGCACCCAGTGCTCCTGAGTCTGCTCTTATCCTCTTATAAGTGTGAATGTTCTCAAAGGAAACTGTAAAACTAGGAAACTGGTAACTAAAGCAAAGTAACCAAACTTAAATAACTTTGATTGGGAATGCCAACTTCTCAAATCCACAATCTGCAATGTGAGAGTGGACAACATGAATATCCACAGCAACAAAGATTATAGATAGATAAATATTTTTGCTGTGAAAATCTCCAGCTTTCAAAATTGTAATAACTTCCCAAAAAAATGAAACATGAAAATGAAAAATGATCTTTGTGGTCATTTTTGTTTGTTTATTTACTTATACACATTAAAATGGGTTTGAGTCAGCTCATTAGAAAATATCATGGATTTGGGCGGAGCAAGTCAAAACGTGTCAAAGCAGCGCTCTGAGTAAGGTATAAGTAACTTACAGAAACATTGCGCGCAATATAGACTGTGCATTAACAAGTCCACCTCTACCTTTGCTTTCTCTGTCATTCTCTCTCTCTTTCTCAAACACGCAAGCAGCTTTGTCCTTCTTTGTCAGTTCACAGAATTGTTTTGAGGCACATGAATCTTGCTCAAATTGATTTGTTTTTTTTGCATAAGCAAAATGCATCTTGTAATGAGGATTTCTCTGCAGCAGGTTCACCTGTGTTTCACTGTTCAGCACCACGGACAGGTCGATGGCTGACACTGACAGGCTGCAAAAGTCTCTTTTCTGACTCTCTTAAAAACTATCAACTGTGAAAGTATCAAAGCCTCAGTCCACAGAGAAATGCACACAGCCTGTATTCAGAAACTGAGCCTCAAAACCAGCCGTCAGGACTTCTGGAACTTTGTGATGTCACAACAAAGCAGTCGCCACCCTCAGCAAAGCCCATTTGGACCCACCATCCAACCTTGCACGATTTTGGTGTTTTACCTCAAACCAGCTCTATTTTTATTGGATCACTCAGAAAACAGTCAGCCAATCAGAGGAAAGGCTCAGAGCCTCCTCTCTTCTGATTGGCTCACCGACCTGTTGATACTAGAGCTCCAGGGAGAAGCCTGAGAGAGGAGATGTGAAACTACACTGAGATGGGTTTTGGTTCTTAAAACCACAAATATAGCTTCTTGTGGATCAACACTTCAAATAAAATACAGAAGAAGAGAAGAGGAAAATATGGAGCATTAAGTAACATTAAATGTGGTAGAAATTGTTAAATGGTGGTTATCCTGATAACCAGTTGGAAGTGCATGTGTTAAGTTGTAGATTTAGGTACTTTTATATGTTGAGCCCAGAGATTCACAATGACATTGCTGTTATGCTTCTCTTTCTCACTCAGTTTTGTATATTTACTCTGCAGAAGAAAAGACAACAGATACTGTTTCTACACTGATAGAACAGAAGAAAGACATAACAACCCACAGAGATCAACTCAAGTCACAGCTGGAGGAAGTAAACCAAAAATGGGTGCAGAGTAGTGAGTGTCTTCAGGAAGTGGAAAAAATTTTTGCAGTCCAAATGGAAACTGGACCAGATAAAGGAAGTAAAGGAGAGAGAGCTGCTGCTGATAGAGAAACTGTTGCCGACATTGGATACTATAACTAATAGCTTGAAAACAGTCTAGTGTCTTAGGTGGACGGTTATTATGAACACAGCCCTGATCCAATGCCCACAGTTATTCTTTATGATTATTTGATAACAAAGGATAATGTTATTAGAGATGGTCTAAGATATGTAATCAGAGAGAAAATATTATAATCTCAGCAGATTGGTGAAGGTGTTGCCTTGATTTTACAATATCATGATCTGCTGTCATTTTCAACTTTTCTTTTATGTATTAGTCATAGCAAACAACTGTAGTTACTGGTTTATCTCATTCACGTTTCCTCAGATCAGACTCTCTTTTGAACTGTTGCCTGTTGTCAAATCATGATATTTGGTGATCTAAGGGTTGATAAGGAAAGTATTTACGTAACCGATTACGTCATTATGATTTGTAAAGTGTATATGTTTGATATTACAAGAATACAACAATACAACATTGAAGCTTGCAGAATATTTTTTTTAAGCATCAGTGGGTTCTTGGAAAAAAAATTAAGAATTAAAATGTGAATTAAATTTTTAACCATATGTTCAATTCAATTCACTTCAATTCAATGCCTTTATTGTCATTGCACAGTGTGGAATGAAAGTGTCTCCAGTGGTGCATACAGTAAACATGACTACCAACAAGTAGACATGTTACAGTCTATATAAGTGAATATAAAACAAACAATAAATAGTATAAAAAAATAAAATTGATGTAAAAAAGCTGAATAAGTCCATGTAATCAGTTTTATTACACATAGGTAAATTGCACAGATAATATTACACATGTTCAGGGTATTATAGCACATGTACAGGATATGGTTTATGTACTTATTATAGCCTTGTTGTTCAGCAGTTTAGTTCTCTAATGACACTTTGATAAAAACTTGTCAGGACTCTGGAAGTGTAGCACCTCCTGGAGGGCAGCAGGAATCATGTGGTGCACGCCCATCTCATTACAGACAGCCAGGGTCAAAGTATTTCAATTCAGGACTTTGACTGTGCAGCTGAATTTACTGCAGCGAGTCGATCATCAAGTCACAAAACAGGTACGATGGTTTAAAATTCAATTCTTCTTTAGATTCTAACATTACTCATGCTGTCACTAACTTTTAATTTGAAGGATTACCATAAATGCTCATCGTAATGGTAGGTCTTCTATCATAACCGATCATCTGTATTTCATTTTAATATGCAATGAGTTAAACTTACACACAAAGTGATGATGATTATTGTATCTTTAAAACATTACAACTGTTATGAGTAGACATGTTATCAGTGTTCTTGACTGCAATCTAATTTAGAAGCTCTATGAGCAATACATCAAAGTGCAGCACTTTTCTTTTAACTCAAATGTAACAACAATGTAAATAATTCATGTTATTATTTCAATATTTCCTCAGTAATTGGAAAACCGACAGTTTCTATGTATAAATCAGTGGTTGCTTCATGTTCCTGTTCATGAGAGTTATTCAAACTAGAGTCATAAATTGGTATTTTATTATTGAGTATCTGAAGAAGGTCACAGTGGAACATTATGCAGGTTAATGTTTTACCAGTTTTACTGCTGTACAGTGAAGGTTTCTCTTTTGCCAGTAGTTACTAACGGTTACAGGCAGCCATGTTGTGGGACAAACGCCTACACAAATATTTGCACTACAGCAGACAAGATGGATGCCTGATGAATGGTAGTGACCTGTTTAGCTGTACACTTATGATTGTGCCCTCATTTTATATGACATATCATCAGATGCACTGCTGATCCATGTTTTTGCATTTAAATTTCCTCACATTTATAGATATTTATAACTAATGGTAAAACTCAGCCCATGCCTCGTTGCCACAATCTGTAGCAACTTAGAGCTGATCCACATTTACCTGCTGTCCCAGTCCGTCTAGAAGTATTAGGGATTTTAAGCACAGACCCTTGAAGTGACGACTATGCTGCTAGTATACATCCCAGCACGTTGCCGTAGTAATGGAAATCAAAGATTATTAAGAAACATTTAACTGTCAACTTCATACTTCAGCAAACCGAGGTTGCTCTGAAGATTGGTACAATATGTCTCTTTGTATATATCTGTCTGTTACTTCAGCACCACGGACAGCGTCATGGTTTCATCAATACACAGAGGATGGAGTTTAACAACAGTTTGTGCTACAGGTCTATGAATAAACTGAAAAAATCTGTCAAATTATCAGGTATCTTTGTCAAATATACTTATAATCCATAAAACTGCAAACAGTATAATTGAATACAAACTAAATGACAGTGAGAAATGTAGAATTACTCTTTAACGTATCACAGGATAAACTAGTCTTTCTCCTGTAGTAGACCGTTTGGCTGCAACACTAGGAAGTTTCGACATATAGTCATAGCTGTCCCTTCAACTGTCGCTGCTTAAAGTCCTTATTCTCTTCAAGAATTAATATGATACAGCTGGTTTATTTTGAATTTACAGAACTCCATGATGCTTCACTTGAAGAAGAGGCTGTCTACACTCACACACACTGATTTCAGTGTTTTAGTTTTTCGTCATGCTGTTGTCCTACTTCTCCTAACAGACTGCTGTGGAGGTAACTCACACACAAACACAGAAACTAACAAACAGATACAACCTTGTTTCCATTATATCATATTTTAATATTGTAATAAAGTGAATGTAGTGTACATGTACATCAGACATGGGCAACATGCCATATTTGTGGTGTTGAATATTCAGTGTTGCAGACATGAAAAGAGAGGTCTGAGCCTGACTGCAGGATGATTCCTTCTTGTCTTTCTAGGTCTATCTCAGGTAGTTGGACCAACTCAGCCAGTAATTGCAATGATTGATGATGATGTTATTTTGCCATGCCATCTGAAACCGTCTGGGGATGCTGCTGATATGACGTTTGAGTGGGCGAGACCTGACTTGAAACCCAGATTTATCCACGTGTGGCACAATTATCAAGACCTTCATAACAACCAGCATCAATCCTACAAAGGCCGAACATCAGTGGACGTCAACAAACTGAAGCACGGTGACATTTCATTAAAACTCTCCAAAGTCAAAATGTCCGATAATGGAATATACAGATGCTTCTTCCCACATTTGGGTAAAGACTCTACTGTACAACTTGTCGTTGGTAAGCATGCATTTATTATTATTAATACCAGCTACAACAGTGGGGCTGGTATTGTTTTCACGTTGCCAGGTTGTGTTTGTGTCACCACAGTGAAATGTGGTCCTGGAGAGAGCTACTGTAGTGGGAGCTACCACAGTATCACAGTTTTGAGGACTTTGGCAGAGTCTCTATGTCTGTGAACAGATTTTGTGTTGACGATTGCACCGAAACCCTAAAAGGTACAGTCACAAAACTTTACAGGTGTGTAGCTGAGATCAAAATGGAGGTTGACTTTAAAGATGGGTGTCGTCTGAGCAGTAGCACCAGAACAAGGGGTGTTGGAATTGGGAAGGGGGAAAATGTCCCCCAACTTTACTAAAGTCATGGACCACTGTATCCAAGTATCAGTCATTCCTGTCCACACTAAGACATTAGGGTAGAAAGGTAAACACTAAAGACCATCATCTGATCACAACGTGAAAACAACATGAAAAAAATACCAGCCCTGCTGTCTTCACTGGTAATTATGAAGTTATGACCACTGAGTCTTCAAGGGTCAAAACATGAACAGGTTGACGGGCGTTGCGGATGGTGTGATGTGCATGGTCTTTTATTATTGTAGTTTTGTTGTTGTTGTTGAGCTACTGCTTCATATTCACTGCTGTTTACAGAAATCAGTCCTCAACTGATGGTTGGATGTTGAATGCATGATTTTATTTCAGTCAGCAGTGTAGAGAAAGAAAAAAGCAATTTAAAGGAATTAAGAAAAATACACTTCCCAAAAATACTTTTAGTATCAATAATGTACTGGTGTTATCCAGAATAAACGTACAGTTTAAGTCACTTGTGTTGCTACAGTTCTGGAATATTGACTGCACTTAACAACAGGGAGCAGTGGATATAATGTGAAACTGATTGCCATCAATCAAAAAAGCCTCTGTTGAAATGTCTGACTTTGTTCATCAGGGACGACTTCCTCACCAGTCATGAGTTTAGCAGGGATTGACAGATCCAACAGTGGGGTGGTGTTGCAGTGTGAGTCTAAAGGCTGGTATCCAGAGCCTGAGCTGTTGTGGCTGGACGGTGAGGGAAAGCTGCTCTCTGCTGGACCTACAGAGACAGTCAGAGGTCCTGATGACCTCTATACTGTCAGCAGCAGAGTGACTGTGGAGAAGAGACACAGCAACAGCTTCACCTGTAGAGTCCAACAGAAGATCATCAACCAGAGCAGAGAGACACAGATTCATGTTCCAGGTAGAAATCTTTATTTTTTTAAAAATTCATTCAGCATCTCTTTAGCTTCATTTGGCTGAGCTATACTTTAAGTAAGTAAGTACAGTTTATTTATACAACACTTCATTTTTCAGACATGAGTCATAAAGTACTTTACAGAGCGAGAGAGTTACAAAATGCAAAAACATAGAAGGCATTCAACACAGGAATACAGTACAGCTTCAAATAAAGTACATAAGAAGACTTAGCACACACAGATTACTTTGAAATGACTCCACAGAAGCAGTAAACCTTAGAGGCGCAGGCAGAGCTTTCCACAACTTGGGTGCATCGTTCACTGCAAGTTTTTAAACGGGTGTGTGGGACAGACAGTAGGTTTAACCTACTTTACCTTAGAGAGCGAGCTGTGAACTATACATATATATATATATATATATATATATATATTACAACCCCTAAATTCCGCAGTCTGGAGTGGGAAGCTGAGGAAAAGAGCCCTATGCGTTGCATGATCATGGGAATGATCAATCCTGGAATCAAAACCTCTGACTTGTCAGCGTTGAGCTGTAAGGTGTTTTCTGCTGTTCAGTCCCTGATAGCTGCCCAACAGTCTAGGAGCTAGTTTAACCTAAAAGCCTCACTTGGCTTGAATGAGTGATGGAGTTGGATGTCATCTGCAAATAGATGATATGGAATATTGTATCTGTTTATAATCTCACCCAAGGGCAGCAAATATAAAGAGAATAAAAGAGGCCCCAGGACTGAACCCTGACAAGTCAGTGAAGAGGCGTCAAATATTAAGTCTCCACAAGAGATAATGAAACATCTGTCAGTGAGATAGGATATGTAAACCAGTCTAATGCAGTGCCTGATATGCCTACATACTGTGTATTAGAGTAACTATTATTGTTTTATTATTTCAGATGATTTCTTTGTGGCGCCGTGTAGTTCTGCTGTTTGTGTCACCATCAGCTTGGTTGCTTGCTTCGTGACTGTTCTTGCAGTTGTCTTTTCCATCTGGAAATGGAGGCATAACAAAAACAGTAAGTCACATATTATTACATTTTATGTTCTATTTATCTTTGTAACAGTTAAGGGTTTTACAAGTAAAAGTCCAAATGCATGTTTAAACTGTTTGGAATGGAATGGTTAACCTGTGCTTTTGTTAGTGTTTTAGTTTCACTTCATGTTTCAGCTGTGCTTGTGTATCCTGTTCAGTATCAACACCTTCTTGCAAAACAGCATCAAACAAGATAACAAGCACTTAAGACTCAAGAGTTTCCTCTTCCTATTTGCAGAAACTGAAACTAATATGATTCTGCAAAGAGAGAAACAGCAGCTCATGGCAGAGAGTGAGAAAATAAAGGATACAGAGATGAAAATGGCGGAAATTGCTGCAGAATTACAGAGGAATAAGGAAGACATGGTTGGTATACTGATGAGACAGAAGGAGGAATTCACAAATCAGAAAGATAAACTCAAACAGCGAAAGAAGAAGATGCAGGAACTGCTGGATGCAAATGAGACACAGTTACAGTCACTGGAGAAAGAAACAGAGGATACAAAATGCAATAATACAACTGGATACCTAAAGCTGGAAGACATAACATCTAATTACAGATGGGGCCTGACTGATGGACAAAAAGAACTTGAGAAACTGGTACTGGATGCAGAGAAACTATTACAGACAACAGAGAGTTTAGTTAGAACAATGGAAAAGAAGGAAGTAGAGAACATGGAGGGAAAATAATGTGGGACTAAAAGAGTTTGAGGTTTAAATGCAAAATGAATCAAAGATAAAACCAAAGCATTCAGTTGGAACCAAGAGAAATCTTTTTGTTTTCTTTACAAAAAAAAGCAAGAACCTGTTTTTAGTTTCGTATTATTGTATTTTTCATTTCTCACGCTTCTCACACTTTTCTCACACACGATCGTGTTGATTCTTACTTCTGGAGGTTTCATAATAAACAACAGTTCTGTGAACATTCAGTGTTTGAACAGCCTGAATTTTCTTCCATATTAACCTTTTTTGACTGTTTTAAACTGTGTTTACAAGCTAGCAACACTTCCGCTCATGGTTCTTTGGGAGTTACCATTTTTTCAGAAACAACAGTTGTTTGAGAGGCTTGCTGAGCCAAAATCGCACTAAGCTCTGTGTCACCTCTGTCCTCCAGCTAGACACAGGTGTTAGAAACAGCTCGTTAGGAGACTTTTTGATCTCTTTGATGTTTACAAACACAGCCACAAGCACAAATACACACACAAACACACACACACACACACACACACACAAACACACACAAACACACACACACACACACACACACACACACACACACACACACACACACACACACACACACACACACACACACACACACACACACACACAAACACACACACACACACACACACACACACACACACACACACACTACTAACACACATATATTGACAGACACACAAGCCATCTCCACGTTTGGATATTCTCCACAGCCACTTTGGATAAATCGGGCATCAAAATTTTCAAAGTAATGTACTTCAAATAATATTTGCTGCTTTTTCAGCCATTTCAGAATCGTGGTGAGGTGATCTTTTCAATAGGACTTGTAGTTTTCGCTCCGATATCCCATTTTTGAATACAAGTTTCATCTTAAAAGCGGCGCCCCAGTGGCTCACCTGGTAAAGCTCGTACCACATAGGCCTAGTCACACACACACATTTATATTGAGAGAAACACACAAACACCATGTCCATGATTTTGATTGACCTTCAAAATGAAAGTCTTAAAATGATAAGAGGAAATTATTGGCTCTATTTTTCCAACCCTTATGCAATTTATACTGTCAAACACAGGAGCACAGACATTTTCAAAATAAGAGTCTCAAAAAGGTAAGAGGTAAGATAGGTAATAAAAGATTGATCTTGGAAGTTGTCGTCTGTTCGGGGATGTAGTGGTATAGCTTTATTGCAGATCAACTTCTGTTAGGGCATGTACATGTGTGTATACATGTCTTGCTGTGGTTGTGAGGACGCATTTGTGTTTGAAACCATCAGTGTGAGTTTATTTTTGCCAGTCGTGACAGCTTCAAAAGGCTTTTTGAGGCACATCCTTGACAGTTTTAGATCGATCTTACAACAAGGTGGAACTCATTGTTTTCATACACAGAACATTCTACAAAGAGGGAAGCAGAACGTCGACCGTCTGATGGTTTTACTGGAGACATGACATGAGGTGAGTTCAGAGAATATGCATTTATTCTAATGATGATCTGCAGCACAGGTTCCTCCATCCATCTGCAGGACACAATATAATGTATTTATCATTAGGGTGCACAGTATGGTACGTCATGTTTAGAAGACATCCACAAAGGCTGCATTTACCCAGGTTTTATAAAGTGACGCTCCTCCTGTCTCTCCAGACTGATCTGTCATCTCGTGGCGGGAACTCCCTACCTGCTGTCCACCATCTTGCTGGTGCTCATACACAAAGACGAGGCGAAAGGTGAGTCACAGATTTCTCAATAAAGGAGATAAACTGTGATGTTATTACTTACTAAAAATAATGAAAAAAAAGATGATGATTCCTCAATAACGACACAGTCAGGAGCAGTGCTTTGATATTCATTTTTTATTTAAATTTTTAGGACATTTTCAGATGCATTGTTGAGAGTTAAACTGTGAAAACATGTTTTTCTTTTACATGTTTTTGTTTCTACAGCGCAACGAGATGAACAGACATCAAACTCCAATGAAGAACAGATGGAAGAAATCGTATGACGCATAATAATAATCATAACAATGATAACAATAATAATAATAATTATAATAATAATAAATGACCTACTTTAACTTTGACTTTATTTTTGACTTATGTGTCAAAGTGTTGATGCTGACAACCTTGACCTTCAGTCCATCAGATTGGGGCATTGTTACTTTTTCACCACTAGATGGAGCCAAACACACGACCCACTGACCCAGAGCTGATTCCCTCCAAACTGTTTGATGCTTTTTCCCCCTAAACGTGTTTATATGTACAGTTTACTTGTGTTTACTGTCTGCTCATAAGACAATACACATTTACATTAGTGGCAAAATTCAAGAATGTTGTGACAATGAAGATGTCTTCCGCAAGTTCTGAAACGTCATCTAGATGACAATGTGTGTGCATCCGTGTTGAACAAATAGGGGTCCTTGGCTACCCCAAACAGTGGAGCTGGCTGCTGTATTTCTAAATCTGCAGCAGCTGCTTTTCTCACATTATAATAGCACGGGAACCTTATGTGGAACCACGTCCCCATTGTTTCAAAGCTAAATGTCCAACTTTTAAGACAGCAGGAAATTAAAACGTTTACAGGGCCTGGTAAGAAAAGACATGGTTTTTTGGGCTTCTAGACTAATTCATCCTCTCACGACACAACTGAAACACCTGGTTTATTTTCAACTCAACACACTGTTTATTACCTTATAGTGACAGGTGGGGTGAGCAATGTGCTCGCCAAGCAAAAATGGCAGGGCACTAGAAGTCTAAGTCTCAAACAGCCCTCGCATGCGAAACACAACTCTGCTGGTGGATGATGTTGTTTGCAAACCTCTTGTGCAATGACACCTTAGGTTGGAGGCTACGTAGGCCAAATGCTTCCTCATATGATCTTGTTATGGATACTATCCACTGAGTTATAGGCAGCGGAAGTTCAGGCAACTGGCCGGAAAATGTGATGGGGACAGTGTACGTGGGCCGGCTACCTCGGTGGGTCATTGCATTTCAAATCTAAAAACAAAGTAAGTCCGCCTTATCCACTTCTAATTAACAGCTGTTTCACCGCTGTAAACCGCCTTAGTTGGCCGGTGACGGGTTGACCCGAGTGGTCTCCAGTCCGTCTTTATTATACATACTTCCGTTAGTGTGTGGTTGCCTAATCCGTCAGTCTTGCACACATAACATGATCACTTCCACTAATTGAGAAGAATAGAGGACCACCAGGTCCTCTTCTGGCGTCGTTTGGTGGACTGGTGTGTTCTTGGTTACCTCAGTGCTCCTTTTCCATTGCCGGTACCTTTCTTTTGTGGTATTTGCTTTGTGTAAACCATCAAAAAAGATAGGGACTTTGCCCACCTTGAATCATACCCCAGACTAGCATCGGCGCCGTCAGTTTAAGTTGAAGAAATTGTAAAGATGCGGCCCTGTTCCAGTCCTAAATCGGCTTCAACTATTTCAACTGGCCAAAGCACATCTGGTTGTCCTTCCCCCTTCCGTCCTCGCACTTCCCTCCTTTCTGGGGTACAGTTACTGTGTTAGATTCACGGTTTCTTCCTGTTCCAGTATATTCGACTAATGATTAGATATGGTTTACCCTTTAGAAGAGTCATGAATAGCAGAAGGAAGAGAGGGCCAGAGGTGACGTACGCTGGGGGCTTTGCTGAATCCAAAAAAGCGGGCTTTAACAAAGTAGCATAGGTTTAAAAGACAACAAATGGACTATGACTGACAACCCATATTTCAACCATATTAACAGTTTTGAATATGGTACTCCTGTGGGAACTGTAAGTAAACTGAAAATACAATGTTATCTCATTCTAGATCTTTGGGATACGGATTACTTGGCTAAATTTATCAAAAATGATTTTAAACCATGATACAAACCAGTTGTATTTCCATCTAATTCTTTGATTGAGGCACCCTCGAAAGTTTGAACCCTCTTTTTTACTGCCTAGACGCTACAACTGGTTCTTCAGTTTCTGTTTAATGGGACAACAATTTCTAATGTAAACATCAAAACATGTTTCAAATAAAATCTTTCGCTGCATATTCTTCAGGTGGTTTTGTGATCCTTGGAAGACGGTCCTGTCAGAGCCAGTGATGGAGGGGACAAACCGTGACTCTTCACTGCAAAAACCGAAGGACAGTTCCATAATCATTGCAGCTGAGTTCTATAAGAACGACAAATTAGTCGGCATGGGTACACAGGGAACATGACCATCAAAATGTTTCAAGTCCAGATGAAGGTCTTTACAGATGGTAACATCTCTGGAGCTGAGAATCACCACAGAGGTTTGCTGGTCGTCAGAAGCGTGAGACAGTAAACTCAAATATTGGTTATTGATTGATTGTTTGGCGTATGGGTACAGATGGTGACGAGAAGAAGTGGTAATGAGAGCTGCATCATAAGTTGTTTTTTTTCTGTAAGTGCCTTCAGTCTCTCAGAACATCATGAGGAGACTCCTCTAGCCCTCAGTGATCCCCCTCCTTCCCTCAGTGATCCCCTCCTGCCCTCTCCCTGGCTGCGGTTTGGTTGTCACTGTTCTAGTGAATGGTGCTGCTGGTGCTGCTGGTGGTGGTGGTGGTGGTGGGGGTACCTACACTGTTAGCAATTAACACCACAATTTATCAGCGAGACAAAAATGAAGAATCCACCAAACACAGGTAATGGCTGAACGCTGCGCTTTTACTGCAGCTTTAGTTCCTGGATTGTGTATTCATATTTTATCACTTTTATTAATTTTATTATTGTAGCATTTATTGTGGGATGGATTTGTACATGAGGTTAAATAGGTGTCACATCGTCTCAAATAATTTTGCTTGTACTGAAGAAATATACTTTTTAAACTACTTGACAGTAATCATGTGAAAGATGTACATAAATTTAGAACTCATGAAGATATTAAATAAAACGGTTACTTAATTATATTAAATTCAAGTTTATATTTATTTGAAATTAATTAAGTAAAAGTTTTTAAATAGTTTTCAATAGAGCAGGAAACGTGACTGTTGAAAAAAAATATGAAGTAAATCTTAT